ATTCAGTCATAACAAGACCTCGTATATATTGTAACCAGCAGCATAATTTCAGAGATATTTCACTGTAAGCGTTTGATGGCATGTTTAGTCACGATTCTGCATAATTAACGTTCCCCAGACAGACGAGAACAATCTGGGGCCTCGTTAATGAATTATTAAGGTTTTGCTCAGAGGAGACACCTGTTCTCTCTGTGTTGGATTCCACAGGAGAGCGGCTCTAACCACATTCAGCACATCTGGACGCTGATGTGATGAACGTACAGTTGTAATAATGCATTGTGTTCAGAACAGAGATGTTACTGTAACCTGCTCTCAGTCACGTAACGAGAAAGAGTCGCACGCTTGCACAGCGTCACACTGAGCTCAAACACAACACACTCCGACCGGCACACTGCCAACCAACACACTCCCACCCACAGGTCTCTTTATCTGAGGAGCTTCAGTTCTCCTATTGTTCCTCCTGTGTGAGTCAGAGAGCACACAGTGTTCCACACAAACACAGCCCTGAGGATGACAGTGATGATGACAGTTGTCATGATGGTGATGATAGTGATGACAATAGTAACAAAGTTGGTGAAAGTGATGATGATGCTGATGGTGACAGTGATGATGATTGGGATGATGATAATGATGGTGAAGATGGTGGTGATGATAGTGATGATAATGGTGACGAGGGTGACAGTGATGATGACAAGTGCGATGAAGGTGATGATTGCAATGATGGAAATGAAGGTGGTGATGATGGTGACAGTGATGATGGTGATGACAATGATAATAATGATTGTAATGATGGTAACAGTGATGGTGATGATGGTGAAATTGATGATCATGATGATGAATGTGACAATGATCATGATGATGGTGGTCATGATATCATGCTGTTTCTGCTGATGATGATGGTGGTGGTCAATAATGAGGATGATGGTGAAGATGGTAGTGATAACAATGGTGATGATGGTGATGCTGATGATGGTGTCCATCATGGTGTTGATGCTTATGATTTTTTGATGATGATGTTGATGTAGATGATTGCGGTCATGATGGTGTTGATAACGATGATAGTTATGATGATTATTCTGATGATGATGTGACAGTGATGCTCATGATGATGGTTGATGGTGATAATTGTGGTAATGGTGATGTTGACATTGATGAAATGGTGATGATGATAGTGACATGGTGATGATGGTGATGACGATGGTGACATAATAATGATGAAGTGACGATAATGGTGATAATGATGACGATGACAATAATGATGATGACGATAATGATAATGTTGATGTGATGTTGATGGTGACATAATAATGACAATGATAGTAATGAGGATGATGGTGATGATAATAGTGATAATGATAATGGTGATGGTCATGATGATGGTAACATAATGACGATGATGATGGTGACATAATGACGATGATGATGACGATAATGATGGTAATGAGGACGATGGTGATGATGGTGACATGATAATGATGATGATGACGATGATGACGATCATGATAGTGGTTTTGGTGACAATAATGACGATGATGATGATAATGATGGTAATGAGGACGATGGTGACATAATGACAATGATGATGGTGACGATGAAGATGATGGTGATGATGATGGCGATAATGATGATAGTCATGATGATGGTGACATAATGCTGACGATGATGATGATAATGATGATGGTAATGAGGATGATGGTGATGATGCTGACAATGATGCTGATGATGACGATGATGATAGTGATGATGGTGACATAATAATGACGATGATGATGATGACGATAATCTTGATGGTGATGATGGTGACAAAGATGATGATGATGATGGTGACGATGAAGATGATGGTGATGACAATGAGGATGGTGGTGATGATGGTGACATAATGATGACAATGATGATGTGACATTAAGGGTGATGGTGTTCAGTGATGAGGTCCTGGCACCTCCTCTGTGGGGAAGCCTGAGGCTTCAGTACTCTCATTAGAAAAAGTAGGTCACACGGTGTGTGTGTGTGTGTGTGTGTGTGTGTGTATGTGACAAAGAGAGAGAGAGAGAGAGAGAGAGAGAGAGAGAGTGAGATATGGAGGTAGATACAAATTCACACACCCTGTGCTGGTTGTGGTGATTTGCAGAGAGATGAACACTGTACAGCTGTGACTCTACTACTGAACTCAGAGAGAGAGAGAGAGAGAGAGAGAGAGAGAGAGAGAGAGAGAAAGACAGAGAGTTAGGGGGTTTCTTCACTGTTAGCTACAGATAGAGAGACTGAGATGTGGAAGCGAGAGAGAAAGAAAGACTGAGCAAGGGAAAGAGGGAGAGAAATGAAGAGAAAGAAAAGAACAAAAAGAGCTAAAGACAAATAGAGAGAGAGAGAGAGAGAGAGAGATGGGTGGGAAAAAACAGATAGACAGCAAAAGAGAGAGGGTGAGAGAGGTAGAATGAGAGAGTGAGGGCGAGTGAGATAGAATAAAACAGAGGGAGATACACAGAGTGTGAGAGAGAGAGAGGGCGAGAGAGACAGAATGAAAGAGAGAGAGAGATAGAGTGTGAGAGAGAGGGTGAGAGAGGTAGAATGAGAGAGTGAGGGCAAGTGAGATAGAACAAAAGAGAGGGAGATGCACAGAGTGTGAGAGAGAGAGAGGGCGAGAGAGACAGAATGAAAGAGAGAGAGAGAGTGTATGAGAGAGAGAGGGCGAGAGGTACAGAGAAAGTGAAAGTGGGGTCACTGAGGGATTGTGCATGTGTTTAGTATTCCACTCTAAGCATCCTCTCTCACTCTCGCTCGCTCTCTCTTTCTCTCTCTCTCATGACCGTCGCCATGGTTACAGCACATTCCACACTTCAGTCGTGGCGATTGAGCCGCAGTGTAGACTGACCAATCAGATCGCTCCGTCTGGCCCATTTAAAAAACCCACATGTGAATCCTACAGCGAGCGCTACAGAGGCTTTACATCACTGAACATTAACGTTAATCCGTCTGCAGCAGGGGATTATGGGTACACTTCTGTTACGTTCACTTTCAGAGCTGGGTCTTTCTGGCGAGCGTTATTAATTTTTTTATTTTTGAAAGTGTCTGCCAGCCGCCGCGACCCTGCTGAACTGTCTCTGTGCTTTTTCCTCAGACTGATAATTGAATAGAGGGAAGAAACCCCTGTGGGGGGGGGGTCGGGGGGGTACAGGCAGTGGCTCATTCACTCACTAAAGACCCAGGGAACATAAACCTGTGTTATCTTTCTAATGAGGTTAGTCACGACTGCGAGGTAAACAGTAAACATGTACTAAGTTCATCCTTTGAATAAAGTTCCTGTCATCAGTCAATGACCCATAATGACCTTCACCATATTTCTCTCCTCTCAATGTAAACTGGGTCCTAATCTTGGGTAACGCTTCCGTAATCATCCCCTGACCAATCACAAGGCTGCGTCTCTGGCCCCGCCCACACAGAACAGTTTCAAAGTCGAGCTAAAGCTGACCCAGCATAACCAAAAGCTAACCAGCCAGCCCACCTGTCTGTAGCTGCCTGACGCCGTTCACTCGTTTATCAACACCAACATTGTTCGTTCGTCCATTCCTTCATTCATGCACTGCTTCGTCTGTTCGTCTGTTTCTTTGCATTTTTGTTTTGTCCATCTGTTTGTTCGTCCACCTGTCCGTCTGCATGTCTGTCCGTCCTTTCCTTTGCACATTTCTGCATCCGTCTGTTTGTTCAGCCATTCGTCCGTCTGTCAGTCCATCTGTCTCCACGTCTGTTTGTCCGTGCATTTTTTTATTCAGCTGCTTTACTTAGCCTTATACTTACCAATCTGATGACTAGTAACATACACTAACCAGTACTACCATAGAATAACCACTGCTAACTTATGCCAGCTAGTCTAACCAGTACCACACAGTACTACCATACACTAATCAGTACTAACATACACTAACCAGTGCTAACATAAGCTAACTAGTCTAACCAGTACTAACCAGTACTACTATACACTAATCTGTACTAACACATGCTTACTAGTCTAACCAGTATTAACCAGTACTACTATACACTAATCAGTACTAACACGTGCTAACTAGTCAAACCAGTATTAACCAGTACTACTATACACTAATCAGTACTAACACATGCTTACTAGTCTAACCAGTACTAACCAGTACTACTATACACTAACTAGTGTTAACATAAGCTAACTAGTCTAACCAGTACTAACCAGTACTACTATACACTAATCAGTACTAACACATGCTTACTAGTCTAACCAGTACTAACCAGTACTACTATACACTAACTAGTGTTAACATAAGCTAACTAGTCTAACCAGTACTAACCAGTACTACTATACACTAATCAGTACTAACACATGCTTACTAGTCTAACCAGTACTAACCAGTACTACTATACACTAACTAGTGTTAACATAAGCTAACTAGTCTAACCAGTACTAACCAGTACTACTATACACTAATCAGTACTACCTTATGCTAACTAGTCTAACAAGTACTACTATACACTAACCACTACCAGCATTCACTAACCAGTACTAACTATGCTAACTAATCTGACCAGGACTAAGCAGTACTACTATACACTATATATACCATATAGACCTGATAAACCTGAGTGTGACGCTGCTTTAGAAACCTGTCATATCACACAGTGGATGGAGCTGCAGTAATATAATAATATAATAATAATAATTTTTATTTATACAGCACTTTTCATGCCGGTGGCAGCTCAGAGTGCTTTACACACAGGTGATAAAACATAGTCATACAAGAAATCATCAGTATTAATTTAGAATCAGAAGAAACTGAAACAGATCAAATTAAAAGATAAATAGAGACGTGGAGTTTTAATTAAATGCTGAGTTAAACAGATACGTTTATAGATGCTTCTTAAAAGTGAGCACTGAGCTTGACTGTCTAATAAAAGTAAGACTACAGTCATAACTGCTGTCTGTGATCATTAATATAATCACATTCACTGTGTGTTTATGTGTTTGTGTGTTTTAGGTTTTCTGCGCTCCACCATGCTGCTCTCAACGGAAACCTGGAGCTCATCTCTCTGCTGCTGGAGTCTCAGGCCATGGTGGACATCAGGGACCAGAAAGGTCAGAGCTGAAAAAAAAGCTTCTACTGTTTCATTTAAAAAGCCTCTATAATGTTCATATGATCCACACAGTCACTCTGACAGACTGTAATACACTACAGGAAGTGTAGGGGGCGATATGGCTTCTACTGTTTCATTTAAAAAGCTCTATAATGTTCATATGATCCACACAGTCACTCTGACAGACTGTAATACACTACAGGAAGTGTAGGGGGCGATATGGCTTCTACTGTTTCATTTAAAAAGCCTCTGTAATGTTTATATTGTCCAGTGGAAGGGCCAGGTAGATGTTTCTAATAAAGTGGCCAGTGAGTGGAAGCACAAAGTATGGATTTCTAATAATAATAAAAGTTTGTGTATGTTTGCTGTAGGTATGCGCCCCCTGCACTACGCTGCCTGGCAGGGTAGATCTGAGCCCATGAAGCTGCTGCTGAAGTCCGGCTCCTCTGTCAACGGCCAGTCAGATGAAGGCCAGATTCCCCTGCACCTGGCCGCTCAGCACGGACACTATGATGTGGTGAGTGACTGGTGCTGAAACTAATAGTGAAGTGGACAGTCCGTTAATCAGGTAGTTCAGATAATTTAACTGTCCTGTCCAGACTTCACCCCCAAATGCATTCATTTTTAGCTGCTGTTGGATAAAATCTCATTCAGCCTAATGAGAAACTGTAGAACAGACTCAGTTTATATCACAATACCTACATTTAGAGTCAGTTATTCATTCAGCCTAATGAGAAACTGTAGAACAGACTCAGTTTATATCACAATACCTACATTTAGAGTCGGTTATTCATTTAATCTAATTCAGAGAAAAATTGCTATTGTTGATTTACATTTGTATTTGTATTGAAGTAACACCTGCAGATATGCATTAATACTTGCAGTGCTGCATTAACACCCACAGAGTTGAATAATAAGACGTACAGTGCATTAACTGTAATTATAATCTTTGTTTTTATTAAGGAGTTTTGTGTAGTACAGAACATTGTCAAAGTTTCAAAACATACCATTCATTTCCCAGACTGTACAGTCCACATATGGAAACTAACACACAGCTAACTACAACTAACTACAGCAGTTTAGCTCCACCCATTTAGCCTACAGCAGTTTAGCCCCGCCCATTCAGCCTACAGCAGTTTAGCTCCACCCATTCAGCCTACAGCAGTTTAGCCCCACCCATTTAGCCTACAACAGTTTAGCCCCGCCCATTCAGCCTACAGCAGTTTAGCCCCACCCATTTAGCCTACAGCAGTTTAGCCCCGCTCATTCAGCCTACAGCAGTTTAGCTCCACCCATTCAGCCTACAGCAGTTTAGCCCCACCCATTTAGCCTACAGCAGTTTAGCCCCGCCCATTCAGCCTACAGCAGTTTAGCCCTGCCCATTCAGCCTACAGCAGTTTAGCTCCACCCATTCAGCCTACAGCAGTTTAGCTCCACCCATTCAGCCTACAGCAGTTTAGCCCCACCCATTCGGCCTACAGCAGTTTAGCCCCACCCATTCGGCTACAGCAGTTTACCTCCACCCATTCGGCCTACAGCAGTTTAGCCCCACCCATTCGGCCTACAGCAGTTTAGCCCCGCCCGTTCAGCCTACAGCAGTTTAGCCCCACCCATTTAGCCTACAGCAGTTTAGCCCCACCCATTTAGCCTACAGCAGTTTAGCCCCACCCATTCAGCCTACAGCAGTTTAGCCCCACCCGTTTAGCCTACAGCAGTTTAGCCCCACCCATTCGGCTACAGCAGTTTACCTCCACCCATTCGGCCTACAGCAGTTTAGCCCCACCCATTCGGCCTACAGCAGTTTAGCCCCGCCCATTCAGCCTACAGCAGTTTAGCCCCGCCCGTTCAGCCTACAGCAGTTTAGCCCCACCCATTTAGCCTACAGCAGTTTAGCCCCACCCATTTAGCCTACAGCAGTTTAGCCCCACCCATTCAGCCTACAGCAGTTTAGCCCCGCCCGTTCAGCCTACAGCAGTTTAGCCCCACCCATTCAGCCTACAGCAGTTTAGCCCCGCCCATTCAGCCTACAGCAGCTCTGAGAATTTAGACTTAACAGTTTGTTCTACATTTCAGCCCATACTGCTTTTTGAATGAGGCAACCAATCAGAACAGAGCTCATTTGCATATATCAGTACTAAAGGCACATTAACACAAAAAGCCATTTTAAAGAGAGGTTGGAAAACCATCGTGTAAAAACGTATGACTTTTTTGATAAATATCATCACTCAGGCTGTTTTAAATATAATTTAGAGAGTAAAAAATGCTAGAGGGATGTAGAATATTGGTGCTTTGAGTTCAGGCGAACCTTCATGAAGAGCTGATTGAGCTCATTACTGTGCGCTCTGTCTGAAGGAGCAGATTCATGGCATTGTGATCTGTGTGTGATGAGATTTTAAATGAAGTGTGAGTGCTGTTTCTGAATGGAGCTGTGAGTGACAGGCTGTAGTGTGTGATGGTGTTTCCACCCTGAGGACAGTGTGCTACAGTAATGTGGAGAGGGCAGCGTTCCAAATCAACACTTTCATCATCATCGTCCCTCTGACTGCTGCTTCTGTCTGCAGTAACAGAAATGCTTACTCACAGTGGCCTGAGGAGAGGGGCGCAGCTCGGCGTCCTGCGAGCCTTTAATTCAGGGCTTATAGAGATGGAGGTCTGCACAGTAGGTTAGAGAGAGAAACAGAGTTCAGCCCTTTAAGGCCGACCCACATTTCTGGGAGAAATGATGGTTGATAAAAACCATCATTATTATCATATATTTGTAAATAAAAACACATTGTAAGGCTGTTTTGGGATGTTTGTAAAGACGTTTATAGAGAAGTCTGTCAGGAACATTGATGGGGCTGATTTGTCACTGGAGTGGGTCCTTCAGTAGAGCGCCCTCTGTCTGCCCATATCGCTGTTGTCGGAACAAATGCTCGTATTTTTTTTCAGTTTTTGTCATAATCTAAACAAAATGCCTGTTTTTCTTTACATTGTGTGTAAATTTCATGATGATGGGACCAAAAGAAACAACCAAAATGACTTGGAAAATCCTCAGAAAGTTGGGATGTCTACACTGTCTGGGGAGAGAGCTTCTTTGCAGTCACAGTGACACCTACTGTGGAGTAATGTTGATTTTGAGATCAAAATGGTGTGAAAAACTCAACGCCTCTGACTTTTAAATCATGATTTCAAGCTTTACAGGGCGACTCAGAGCAGCTCACTCACCATATTTTAGCCTGTTTTTATTCTCCATAATGACACTGCTGTCAATTTCATCACAAAAACTTACATAGTGCAGCTTTAACTGCTTTGAACACACGTTAGCCCTGCCTTCACCCTGCTAGCGCTGGTGGTGTTGTGTAACTGGGGAGTCCTGATTGTTGGGTGGAATTGGACACGACTAAATTAGGGAGTGAATTGGAAAAAAAAGTAACCACACCACTACGGTAAAACTTTGCTGTTGGATGGGTCGCAAGTCAACTATGGTCAAATATATCAAATATATCTGTGTATATTTGGTCACAGTGCAGTAACTGAGAGTTGTATGTTCTGTCTGTGTCCAGTCGGAGATGCTGCTGCAGCACCAGTCGAACCCCTGCATCGTGGACAACGCTGGAAAAACCCCGCTGGACCTGGCCTGCGAGTTCGGCCGCGTCGGGGTGAGTTACGGCTCTGAGCGAGCTCACTGACCCGCCCACAGCCTGCAGCATCATCTCTGACTTCAAAAACTCAAAACACCTGTTTACATAACAATACAACACATATACTACAGTACAGGTTACATACTGTCGGCCAGAGGACTGACGGGACTTCACTCCAGCTCCTTTTGGACCATGAACAGCTTTATTTGGGAAAATTTGTTTTGGAGTTAGTCAGTTTTGTAATAACTGCAACAATATATTGTCTCTTTATCTTAATATTTTATGGTATGTTGTGTATTTAGAATAGGATGGAACATATATATAACTTTATTGTCCAGCCAATGCAGAACAATCATCTTTGGGTAATAAATAAACACACAGTGTATCCTAAACATCACTAAACACACACTATGAACAGGAAACACTCATCACTAAAATGTACATCAATACGAATTAATAGTTTGTTGATAACTTTGCATCAAGAACAGAATTTTATTATTTTAACGTCGTAAATATGTAATATAAACATGTAAATAAACTTTATTTTAATAATAATAATTGTTTTTATTTGTATTATTATTATAATTATATATGTATATGATATATAATATTATTGTTAGCATATATTATCATATATTATTATAGTAGTGGTAGTAGAAATAGTAATCATTTTAATAATCATATCGGTTTTTGTTTCTGTTGTTATAATTGTTGTTATTATTGAAATATTATTATTAATATTGAATTTTTATTATAATTTGTAGGTGGTCCAGCTGCTCCTCAGCAGTAATATGTGTGCGGCTCTTCTGGAGCCCAAACCCGGAGACTCCACTGACCCCAACGGGACGAGTCCGCTACATCTCGCCGCAAAAAACGGACACATAGACATCATTAGGTGAGAGAGAGAGAGAGAGAGAGAGAGAGAGAGAGAGCTGAGAATGTAAGCCAATGCAGAAGATCACCATTAAAGGGCCCATATCCCACATTTTTCCTGTTCATCCCCCTTTTCCCCCTGTAGTCCACTCTTGTGTGGGTTTATGTTCCTAAAAGTCATTTTTACGTGACTCGCTTTATCCTATAGAATTTAACAGGCTGTTTTTGTTACTGTACCATTAAGACTGGTTTATGTAAATGAGCTCTGTTCTGATTTCTCTGTACCGACAGCCATGAACAGCACAACATTTAATCATTTTTCACCTCATCTTCCGTGAATGGGGGCAGCTAAACTGCTGTAGGCTGAATGAGCAGTCATATTGCATGTAAGCACCTTCATGGTCGTGACATCACAGCCATGATGCAGTCAAACACAGGCTGTTCTTGCAGATTAGTTTCCATATTTGGACTGAGGAGTGAACCGAAACTTTAAGCGTGTTCATGTACTACACCAAACACCTCTGTTTACAAAAGCGAGGGAGTTATGAGGAATTCAATTTTCTGTGATATGGGCACTTTAATCGCAGTTAATCTGGGCTCAGGGGCAGATCAGGCCCGGCGCGTTGATGGAGAGAGTGGGAGTGGATTGTGATGGTATTTTTAGCAGTCGGTACGAGGCTCTGTGAGAGTGTACTGAGACAGGCGAGATCTCCCAGCAAGCTTTGCACCTCTTTAGGAGTGGGCAGCGGTGTTTTGTCTCTGGCAGCACGCCAGCAAACCTGGAGCTCAGGTGTTCGCACACAAACACGCGGATGCAGTATGAACTGAAAGTTTGGAATCTGCACTGTCAGCACAGTTTCTGCCTGTTTAGTGAGAGACGAGTCAGAAACAATGAAGCTGGCTTGACAAACTTTTACTGTTCTTCTAATGAACCCCTTAAAATCTCAGTCTTACTTTCACACTAAGGCTTGGTATTCAGTAACCACAGGGACTTCAGTACAAACTGGCTGAGCTGTTTAGGTTATAGAAGTGTGTAATGAAACCTCGGGGCCGCCGGGGGGGATAATGTTATTAATGTTTTCATGGGTCACGGTTTTACAAGATAGAACTACAAAAGCTTGTGCTTTTATGGCCGATCGCACGAACGGTTTTGTGTTCAAACATGACTTTGAATGGCAGAATGTTGAGGAAGTTCAGATCCCTCACACTGCCCCTCATAGACAAGCTGTGTCCCAATTCAGGGGCTGGATCCTTCGAAGGATGCGGTCTATGAAGGCGTGCCCTTTGAAGGCTACTTAGACCTGCGAAGGCTGAACTGAAATGAGACGGTCTGCTCTACGGCGGATTTCCTGTTTACATCACAGCACCGCTGTTCCCGCCCTTATCGCTGCGTCACGTACCGCCGCTCCTGTCACGTCCTTTTAAAGTTCTTTAAAGACGGAGAAACTTTGAGTTTAGTTTTTTATTTTTTCATTTATGAGAGCTGGAGATGCTTCTCTCTGTCGGCTCTTTGCTCCCTAAAACAAAACGAAACGTTAGCGTGAGTTTAGCTTCAGACCACATTGGTTTAACATCTGTATCTTTAGCTATTCAACTCAGTTTAAACCCAATACTTAGGTGTAAAAGTGAACCCTTCAGTCACTGTTGGCTCCTCTGCTGATGCCGCCATGTTCTCAAATCCTTGCTGGCACACAGTGAATGCTGGCTGGTGAAAGGATCCACCCATTGGATCCTTTGTTGCCATGGAAAAGAAGGACACGTTTCTCTGCCTCATATGTAGGAGCCTTCACAGTTTTACAGTCCGCACCGTTGTGACGCAGTCAGCTTTCAAATGCAGCCTCCGAAGGATGCAGCCCCTGAATTGGGACACAGCTATAGACTCACATACATACTTGCACATATATATAAATAAACACAAACATATTAGCAACCACCTGGGAGACCATAGCAACGGCTTTGTCAAGCTGACTTAAAGTTCATTCACAGACTTTCTGCTTGTAGTTAACATAAAAATTACAGCATCATTTTGTTGTTGCTGGTGACAGCAGTAAACGGTGGGGGGTGGGGGTCTAGAGGGAGGCTGGGCGCTGATCATAATAGCTCTGGAATGAGTTTGAGGGTACAGTCTGTCTGATTTACTGCTACTGGATTTACTGCCTGTCTGAACGCACAGAGAGGAAGCAGGAGGTGACCTCTAGATGCTCCTCTGTTCTCCTGCTGGGCAATCAGGGAGATCGTCAGAAACATTACACACCGTGTAGGTTTGGCTGACAAACTGCAAATACTCACTGGCCACGTTACTGGAAACACCTAGACTACATTACTCACTCTGGCCACTTTATTAGAAATACTTAGACTACATTATCCCCACTGGCCACTTTATTAGAAACACCTCGACTGCATTACATTCACTGGCCACTTTATTAGAAACACCTAGATTGCATTACATTCACTGGTCACTTTATGAGAAATACCTAGGCTGCACTACACCCAGCTGGCCACTTTATCAGAAACACCTAAACTGTGTTACACCCACTGGTCACTTTATTAAAAATACCTAGACTTTATTATCCCACATTGGCCACTTTATTAGAAACACCGAGACTACATTACACCCACTGGCCACTTTATTGGAAACACTTCCTCCCTTATCTAAGGACTGGTTTCTAACAAAGTGCCCAGTGGGGGGAGCTATAAGAGGAGTTTCCAATAAAGAGGCCAGTGTGTGGAGCTACATGGGAGGGTTTTTCTAATAGAGTGAAACGTAGCTGAGGGATGGGAAATGTAGGAGCTCTGATCCTGTTTGAGTAGCGCTGCTTCAATTAACACCCTGGTCACATGACCTGCTGTGAAACTTCTTCAACAGCTCTGTGACAGAAAAGCCTCACACACACCTCTTATCTGCCTCTCCACAGCAGTGTGTGTGTGTGTGTGTGTGTGTGTGTGTGTGTGTGTGTGTAACAGCCTAGAATAGAAAACAGTGGAACGGCTGTTAAAAAAAGCTCAGAATAGAGAACAATGTTCAAGAAGGATGAAGAAATTGCAGTGTTCAGTGGAGAAGCCTCAAATTTAAACGCCCTGTCTGTGCAGGCATTCATAATGTAGCCGAGAAGTGTTGGAAACGTTTACCTCACCATTTTGAGGAATTCCACAGATTTTTAAACATATCTGAATAACTCAGTGTGTGAGATGTAAATAGAGTGATTCAGAGGTTTGGTGTGAAACGGTTCAGATGTCTTTACAGTGGTGGTGATAGGAACCAGGGGTCGCCATGACTACAACACAAATATAGACATTTTATTTACTATCCAGAACCACCAGTGAACCTACACGAGTCTTCTGAGTTTATATGGAATGTTGATGATGGAAAATAGTGGAAAATCTGAAATAATAAGTTTTCTTTGGGGACTATTTTGCCTAACAGCGCCCTGCATGTATCCCTCCACCATGAATGGAGTTTAAGTTCTCTAAACTATCATAAAACAGTGTCTCAGTCATCAGGCAGTGAATTCATCACCATTTCATGTAGGAACTTTCTGTGAGGGAGCTTTTAGAGGTGGACGTCTGGTTCCTATCACCACCACTGTGAACAGTTCTGAATTTCTGAATGACATCTCAGCCATTTAATTATGCAGGAATTTTGGTGGAATTCCCCCTTAGGGTGAGGGTTAAGGTCATGTGTGACCGTGTGGTGGGATGAACAGTGCTGGGAGCTGCAGGTCAGTGATCGGGGTCAGAAACAGTAAAGATCAATACAGATAACCATTACAGCCGACAGCGTGCAGCCAGTGCATGTGATCCTATAAACACGGCCAAGAATCTCCACACTGACTTTAACCCTTTCATAGCCAGCAGCTAACCTCAGTTTGATGATGAGAAGATTCCCCAAAATGTGCACTGACTGGTCTGAAGTGATGACATTTTGTGCACTTATATCTTTGAATGTCTGCCAGTGTACATTAGAATTTAATTTTGGATTATGTATAATTTTATTACTTTAACTAACAATTGCATTTTGATTTTCTGTTGTTTTTTTAGTGAAAGAGACTAAAGTTAAAGGGAAATACGCACTTTTTTCAAAGTTTCTAAATAATTAATTGGCTAAGATGAGTGGTTTGGTGTGAAACGCTCTGTTCTAGAGAAACTTCCCGAGTCAGAACTGTTCACAGTGGTGCTGATAGGAACCAGACGTCCACCTCTAAAAGCTCCCTCACAGAAAGTTACTACATGAAATGGTTATGAATTCACTGCCTGATGACTGAGACATCTGTGGCGTTTTAAAAAATGATGGTTTTTCAAGGGTTCTTTAGGAAAGGGAATGGTTCTATTTAGAACCATGGGTTCTATATAGGACCATTCAGTGCTAAAATGGTTCTTCGCATGGTGAAATGTTCTTCAGATTGATTGAGAATGTGTTGTATATGGTTTTATACAGCACCTTTTTGAAAATGGTCCTCTATAGCACAAGAAAAACAGTAGCAGAACACTTTTTAATGCTATTTAGAACCATATACAGCATATTGTCTCATTTCAGCATAAAATGGTTCTATATACAGTCTTAAAAAAGATTGTATGTAATAATAAAAATTAGTAAAATGTCATATGTGTCTTATATATATATCACTACTATCAGGATAAAACCTTGTATCTCCATTTTTGGTGTTTTTCAGTTTTTTGACATAATTTGAAAATACCTGTTACCCTTTACATTGTGTCCAAAATGACTTGGAAAGACGTCTGGTTCCATTGACATACATTAAAAGTAAAGAAGGTTTTTTCTTCTCCTGTAAAATCATTATTTTGTAGATGCAAGGTTGTGCTCCGACAACAGTGATATATATATATATGTAAATGCTCCAAGATCACATTAACTTACATTGAAAGTTAAAAACAGCAATGATTGCATAGTTAGTTAGTAGTTACTTATGTATATGTAATAGTAATGTATCCCATGTGTATTATATATGCAAATAACCATATGTAATATGTCCCTTACGTATTATATATATTTAAGTACCTATATGTAATATTAAAGTGACGTATGTACTATAATCATCGCTGCTCCAAAATAGTAACTTTATAGGAGCAGACGAAAATAACTTTCAATATAAGTTAATGTGATTTTGGGGCATTTCTATTGGTCGATTCATCATGAAATTTTCACACAATGTAGAACAGCTTTATAAGTTTCAGTAAGTTAAAAGAACTTTAGAAAGTCAGGAGTGTTTTGTTGCTCCTGTAGGTTAAAACTGTAATTCAGTCTTGAACTTTCTGTCCTGAAAGTGTAGAAAGACGAACACGCGCCTGTGCCCAGGCAGCGCCCGGCTCTAATTAGAGTTAAAAATGGGCCGTGTGAATCCACAGGTTACAGCAGCGGAGAAAGGGCTGGTAATTATATCATTAATCCAATAGCACCAGCGGCAGTCGCACTGAGACTCGCTCAGATGGATTGATTTATAGAGGAAATATGAAACCGAGCGCTGACCCTGATCAGGACCGCTTTATCGGAGCAGTGAGGTCATTAAAGTTCAGCTCCAGCTCTGATTAGCTCAGATGGATGTGCTCATTAGCAGCCAGAAAGAGTTTTAGTAAAAAAGAGAGCAGGAGGAAAAGGCTCACTGGTCTAAATCAGTGGTGTTCTGACTGTGGGTCGCGACCAACTGGAGGGTCACAGTGTGGGGCGAAATGCTTGGAGTGGACTGTTCCTAAAGGGCCCAGCGCAAAACCCTGAAAAACAGCCCAGCTCATTATCCCTCCTCCACCAAACTGTACTGTTGGCTCTGCCTTCCGGTAGGTAACGTTCTCCTGGCGTCCACCAAACCCAGATTCATCATCAGACTGACAGATAGAGAAGCTGCTTCATCACTCCAGAGAACACGGTTCCACTGATCCAGAGTCCAGCAGACGACGCTTGGCGACGCACATAGTGATCTTAGGCTTGTGTGCAGCTGCTCAGTCATGGAAACACATTTCTGATGCTCAGTTATTGTGCTTATGTTGCTTCTGGCTGAGCTATTGTTGCACCTAATAATAAGAAGTTTCATTTATATAGCAAATTTCTCAGAAAATCATTTTACACAAAAAAATAAAAATTAGAAATTTAGAGTAAAGGAAAGCACTGAGAAACAGGTCGGTTTTGAGCTGTGTCTTAAAGCTTGAGAGATCATGGAGACTCTTACAGTTGTCCAGGGCAGAAATTTCACAAACTGACTTTATGAAATGAAACGAACCTTTAGCCATCTGTGTTTGAACACATTGGAATTAGACCTCCGCACTTAACTCATCCGTGCAGTGAAACACCACATACACACTAGTGAACACACACACTAGGGGGCCGTGAGCACACTTGCCCGGAGCGGTGGGCAGCCCTATCCACAGCACCCGCGGGAGCAGTTGGGGGTTAGGTGCTCAAGGGCACTTCAGTCACGTACTGTCAGCTGAGGGGATCAAACCAGCGACCTTCTGGTCACAAGGCTGGCTCCCTAACCTCCAGCCCACCCTGTTTAAAGTCTCTGAGCTCTTCAGTACGACCCTCTACTGCCAGTGTTTGTCTACGGAGACTTCAAGACTGTGTTTGATTTCATACGCCTGTCAGTAATAGGTGTGGCCGAAACACTTGAACTCTGTAATTAGAAGGGGTTTGTTTTGGCCACATTGCGTATAATGAAATTTGTTAATGTTTTTGTGATGAAGGTAAGAGCTGAATAAATTCTAAACACAAAACAGAAAAGTGCTGTATTATTTTAACGTATTTCTGTTCTACGGTCTCACTGAGTACAGTGTAGATATAGTGCTTCATTCTTTTTCTACTGCATTCGCTAAGTGAAAGAAAAGAACACTGAATTAGATTGAAAGCTTAAGGGTTTGAGGACTTTTAGACGAGTGGGTGGGTCTCAGGAGAGACGCTACCTCTACGTGTGGGCCCTGGTGTGAAAATATCTGGGACCCTCTGCTGTATATCACTGTATCAGTAATATGATTATGTAACACTGGCGCATGATTTCAGCAGCTAATCCTGTAGAGAGTCAGTGAGGCTGAGGCAGGCTGGAGTTTCTCTCTCAGTGTCAGTGATGTGTCCCACCTGTGCAGCTCTAATTCAATTCACTGTGTTCTCAGGGGATTCTGGGCTGGAATAGACAGCTGCCTGCAGAAGTGATTCTGGAGGGCGTGGGTGGAGCTTTAAACCCCTTTAATTCAGTTATTAGTCTCAAAAACAAATTATTCAGTCACTGCTCGATTGTTTGTAGACTAATATCTCTTACTATAGAACATAGGGCGTTTAATGAGTGCTTATAGTCTAGTATCTCCTATTCTAACGTATACACACATTTACTAAGGTTGTTTATGGACTGATATCTCATATTCTTACATATAAGAGCGTTTGTTGAGGTTGTTTATGGACTAATATCTCCTATTCTGATGTAAAAGAGCATTTATTAAGGTTGTTTATGGACTGATATCTCACATTCTAGCATATAGGAGCATTTATTGAGGTCGTTCATGGACTAATATCTCCTATTCTTACATATAAGAGCGTTTGTTGAGGTTGTTTATGGACTAATATCTCCTATTCTAATGTAAAAGAGCATTTATTAAGGTTGTTTATGGACTAATATCTCCTATTATAGGGTATAAGAGTGTTATTGAGGTTGTTTATGGAGTAATATCTCCTGACGTAAAATAGCATTTATTAAGGTTGTTTATGGACTAATATCTCCTGTTCTAGCATATAAGAGGGCTTAGTGAGGTTGTTCATGCACTAATATTGCCTATTCTAGCATATAAGTGCATTTACTGAGGTCGCTTATGGACGAATATCTCCTATTCTAGTGTATTAGAGCATTTATTAAGGTTGTTTATGGAGTAATATCTCCTATTCTAGTGTATAAGACTGTTTGTTGAGGTCATTTATGGACTAATATCTCCTATTCTTACATATAAGAACGTTTGTTGAGGTTGTTTATGGACTAATATTGCCTATTCTAACATAAAAGAGCGTTTACTGAGGTCGCTTATGGACTAATATCTCTTATTCCAGTGTATAAGAACGTTTATTGAGGTCATTTATGGACTAGTATCTCCTATTATAGCGTATAAGAGTGTTTATTAAGATTGTTTCTGGACTAATGTTGCCTAATAATCTCTCTCTAATCTCTGTAGGCTGCTGATTCAGGCAGGCATCGATATCAACAGGCAGACGAAAGCTGGCACTGCCCTCCATGAGGCGGCACTGTGTGGCAAAACAGACGTGGTGCGCCTCCTGCTGGACGTAAGTATATCTGCACCTAAGATAAAAACAAACAAGGGCAGACAGAGAGGATATATGGCTGAATCTGACGATCCTGAGAAATGCAACTTTTATTAGAAAAGGCATCTTTAGCCTTGTTTCTGTGCTGATTTAAAGTGCTTAGACAGGCCAGAACAGCCCATAATATTTCAGACGGAGACAGCTGCACTGCCTTCATCTGTCTCACCCACTCAGAGCGATCAGATCAGACTGGAAGGAGGCGAGTGAGCGAGCAGGGAGTCTGCAGAGGATAGAGCAAAACCGAAGACACACAGTCTCTCAGAGGCATTTCAGCCTGCGGTGATCAGCAGCTTTACTGCTTCAGTCAAAACATTGCCTCGTTCTTATATGTGACATAAGAAGTATGTTTCGGTGTGATTTAAAGGGCCCGTATAGTGGAAAAACTAGTTTTCCTTGGTTTTAAATTACGAGTTTGATGTAGGATGTAAACAATCTAAGCAGCAAAAGAGCCCTTCTGTTGTGATGTCACAGCCATATACATGTTTATATATATGAAATTTACACATATTTACATGGAGAGGCCTAGGGTTTATTTTTTGTTTAGTTCAGTTGTTTATATATATATATATATATATATATATATATATATATATATATATATATATCGATGGATATATATATTTCTGTTGTGACGTCACAGTCATGAATATATTTATGTATGACATATTTTCCGTTTACAAAGGGGGGCTGAAATGTATTTTTAGTTTGTTTCAGTCAAACATAACACTTTGTTCCCTGTTTCAGTCCCGATTGCCCAGTGTCATTTATGGGCTAATATCTCTAATTCTGGTGTATAGAAGCATTTATTGAGGTCGTTTATGGATTAATGTCTCCTATTCTAGCATATAGGAGTGTTTAATTGAAGTCATTTATGGACTAATATCTCCTATTCTAGTGTATAGGAGTGTTTAATTGAAGTTGTTTATGGACTAATATCCATTAGAGACTAGTATCCAGTGTTACGTTTAGTCAGAATGTAACACTTTGTTCCATGTTTCAGCCCAGATTGCCCAGTGTTTTTTGAGATCATTTATGGGCTAATATCTCTTATTCTACTGTACAGAAGCATTTATTGTGGTCGTTTATGTACTAATATCTCCTATTCTAGAGTGTATGAGTGTATAATTGGGGTTATTTATGGACTAATATTTCCTATTCTAGTGCATAGGAGCACTTAAGGAGGTTGTTTATAGACTAATATCTCCTATTCTGGTGTACAAATTGTTTATTGAGGAGGTTTATGGACAAATATCTCCTATTCTAGCATATAGGAGTGTTTAATTGAAGTCGTTTATGGACTAATATCTCTTATTCTAATGTATAGGAGTGTTTAAATATAAGTTGTTTATTGACTAATATCTCCTATTCTAGCATATAGGAGCCTTTATTGAGTTTAGTTATGGACTAATATGTCCTATTCTAACGTATGGGAGTATTAAATTGAAGTTGTATCTCCTAGTGTATAGGAGTATTTGTTGAGGTTGTTTATAGACTAATGTCTCCTATTCTAGTGTATAGGAGTGTTTGTTCAGGTCGTTTATGGACTAATATCTCCTATTCCAGTGTATAGGAGTGTTTGTTGAGGTCGTTTATGGACTAATATCTCCTATTCCAGTGTATAGGAGTGTTTGTTGAGGTCGTTTATGGACTAATATCTCCTGTTCTAGTGTATAGGAGTGTTTGTTGAGGTCGTTTATGGACTAATATCTCCTATTCCAGTGTATAGGAGTGTTTGTCGAGGTCGTTTATGGACTAATATCTTCTATTCTAGTGTATAGGAGTGTTTGTTGAGGTCGTTTATGGACGAATATCTCCTATTCCAGTGTATAGGAGTGTTTGTTGAGGTCATTTATGGACTAATATCTCCTATTCTAGTGTATAGGAGTGTTTGTTGAGGTCGTTTATGGACTAATATCTCCTATTCTAGTGTATAGGAGTGTTTGTTGAGGTCGTTTATGGATTAATATCTCCTATTCTAGTGTATAGGAGTGTTTGTTGAGGTCGTTTATGGACTAATATCTCCTATTCTAGTGTATAGGAATGTTTGTTGAGGTCGTTTATGGACTAATATCTCCTGTTCTAGTGTATAGGAGTGTTTGTTGAGGTCGTTTATGGACTAATATCTCCTATTCCAGTGTATAGGAATGTTTGTTGAGGTCGTTTATGGACTAATATCTCCTGTTCTAGTGTATAGCAGTGTTCACCCATCCCTGTGTAAAAAGTGAAGCACAGGGGAAGAGTAAATACAAGAAAGCTGGAGGATATGAGCCCTTTAATGATCTGACTGCGTACCTGTTATGGAGCCATGGTAGGAAACGTTGTGCCTTTTTTCACCTTTGATCTTTCGGTCTTCTGCAGAGCGGCATCAATGCGACAGTGAGGAACACGTACAGCCAGACTGCGCTGGACATCGTCTACCAGTTCACAGCCACACAGGCCAGCAAGGAGATCAAACAGATGCTGAGAGGTACAGAGAGAAAAGAGCGTCTGTCTCTACTGCTCTGTCTCTTATTGAGTCAATACATATTACATATAGAAACTCACACATACATAATACATACAGGAAATAATATTATTACATATAGAAACTCACACATACATAATACATACAGGAAATAATATTATTACATATAGAAACTCACACATACATAATACATACAGGAAATAATATTATCACATATAGGTAATTAAACATACATAATACATACAGGAAATAATATTATCACATATAGATAATTAAACATACATAATACATACAGGAAATAATATTATCACATATAGAAACCCACACATACATAATACATATGGGAAATAATATTATCACATATAGATAATTAAACATAAATAATACATACAGGAAATAATATTATCATATAGGTAATTAAACATACATAATACATACAGGAAATAATATTATCACATATAGGTAATTAAACATACATAATATATATGGGAAATAATATTATCACATATAGGTAATTAAACATACATAATACATACAGGAAATAATATTATCACATATAGATAATTAAACATAAATAATACATACAGGAAATAATATTATCACATATAGGTAATTAAACATACATAATACATACAGGAAATAATATAATCACATATAGGTAATTAAACATACATAATACATACAGGAAATAATATTATCACATATAGAAACTCACACATAAATAATACATACAGGAAATAATATTATCACATATAGGTAATTAAACATACATAATACATACAGGAAATGATATTATCACATATAGGTAATTAAACATACATAATACATACAGGAAATAATATTATCACATATAGAAACTCACACATACATAATACATATGGGAAATAATATTATCACATATAGATAATTAAACATAAATAATACATACAGGAAATAATATTATCATATAGGTAATTAAACATACATAATACATACAGGAAATAATATTATCACATATAGGTAATTAAACATACATAATATATATGGGAAATAATATTATCACATATAGGTAATTAAACATACATAATACATACAGGAAATAATATTATCACATATAGAAACTCACACATAAATAATACATACAGGACATAATATTATCACATATAGGTAATTAAACATAAATAATACATATGGCAAATAATATTATCACATATAGGTAATTAAACATATATAATACATACGGGAAATAATATTGTCACATATAGGTAATTAAACATAAATAATACATATGGCAAATAATATTATCACATATAGGTAATTAAACATATATAATACATACTGGAAATAATATTGTCACATATAGGTACCTAAACATATAATACATATAGGAAATAATATTATCATATTGGTAATTAAACATAAATAATACATATGGCAAATAATATTATCACATATAGGTAATTAAACATAAATAATACATACAGGAAATAATATAATCACATATATGTAATTAAACATATGTAATACATACAGGAAATAATATTATCATATTGGTAATTAAACATAAATAATACATATGGCAAATAATATTATCACATATAGGTAATTAAACATATATAATACATACAGGAAATAATATTGTCACATATAGGTACCTAAACATACATAATACATACAGGAAATAATATTATCACATATAGGTAATTAAACATAAATAATACATACAAAAAATATTATTACATATAGGTACTTACATGTATATAATACTTACAAGAAATAATATTGTTACATATGAGAACTTAAATATTTACAATATGTATGGGAAATAATATTATCACATATAGGTACTTATACATATATACATATATTACATATGGAAAATGGAAAATTATAACATAGGTACTTACATGTATATATCACATATGGGAAATATTATCATTATATATGGATACTTACACATATATAATATATTCGAAATGTCATTATTAAATGTAAGTATTTACATATATAAAACATAAAGAAAACATTATTATATATAGCTAATACCTATTATATGACCCCATGTCCTTAAAAGATATGAAAACAAACCTCTGTGTGTGGTGTGGACAGTACCTCTGATTTACAAGGCTGTGTTTGTGTGTTTGTTCGTGTGCAGACGCGTCGGCCGCCCTGCAGGTCAGGGCTCTGAAGGATTATTGCAACAACTACGACCTGACCAGCCTCAACATCAAAGCAGGAGATGTCATCACAGTAAGTCCCCGTCAGTTCAGTTTCTGCAGCGGTCAGTCCCCCGGAGCAGGACTGTGGGGGCAGTAATGCAGCACTGAGGGTCACAGAGAAATGTTTAACACTTACATCACCCACCTGGCTGCGGTGACATTAAAGTGGCTGTGTTTACATGTAAAGACTTGTTCTGAGACACATAAGCTGGACGTCCGTCCCACCGCCGTCTTTTAAAGATCAGAGCATAAACTTCGTCTCCTCTGCAGACCAGTTTCTGCTCCGCCATGTTGAACGGTATAAACTCTCACTATGACGCGACGAACATGATCAGAACGGACTTAAACTTTCCGATAGGGAATGTAATCAGATACAGGCGTTTACACGGATATTATTCTTCTATTTAATGGATTATTTACAGGATTACCCACCTCGATCAGTCGGATAGGAACTGTATTCCGAATGGCCTCAATCGGACTAGACCATTCCGAGTGAGCTATTAGTTGAATTATTAACAGATTATTAGCCTGCATGTAAATGTGGCAGTGATAGTTTGGCCCTTCTCCTCACCCCAAAATGAAGTCAATCAGCCGAGACATGTTTGGTTTATATTAGCTAAGAGGCCAGCGTAGCTTAAAAGAGAATTGGCCCCGTTCAGTATCTCTAATGGTCTTGATTATGTGGTTTCTGATGCTGCTTGACTCACATATATACATTATAATTAGGAAAGCTGTACAACACAAAGAATTAACGTAATATAATTAATATCCAGAATCTGTCAGATTTGAAAGGCAGTCAAGTCTCACTGATAAAATAGCTACTGATAGTAATTTAATGACTATGAATTGATAATTACAGTTTTTATTTAATAGCATTTGCTGTTTTTTGCCATGTCATCATTGTAGAAGCACTAAATTATGAATAATCCAGCAGTTTGTTTTAGTTTATAACACTGTCAAAGCTGTTACTGAATAACAGCTATTAATATGATGAGTGAGTCCAAACCTTTGAATAGTGATGTTTGTCTGCTGCTGTTTTAGCTGTGCTAATGTACTTTAGTCCATGTTTATAGAGAACAGTGAGTCAGGAACCACAGCACTCTGTGTTTTTTACACAAACTATCACTTTAAACTGATTTACTGATTGTGTGGAACACAATGGTAGATCTCAAACATGGTGGAGAACCTGCTGAAAAACCATAGGAAACATTAAGTGCTTCTGTTGGTTACTGAAGGTTCTGTAATGCGTTTTGGCTTTTTTTAATGGGTTGATTTCACAGTGTAAAGGATGCATTTGATGGTTACTAATGGGATCTAAAGGTGTTCTACACGAAACTCATGGCCTCTATTAGAAATTATTAAGCCAATTCCAATTAGAAAGTGAAAGCATTAGGTTTTTATCCTACACACTTAAAAAATATGGTTCTTCAAGGGTTCTTTAGTAAAGAAAATGGTTCTATATAGAACTATGAACACATAAAGAACCCTTTGCATGATTTAGGTGTTCTTTGCATCATGAAAGCGTTCTTCAGATTGATGGAGAATGTGCTGTAGATGGTTCTATACAGAAACTTTTGGAAAAGGGTTCTATATAGCACCAAAAAGGGTTCTTCTGTTGTTACAAGCTTGACATCGTAACAATAGAAGAACCCTTGGTGCTATATAGAACCATTTTCAAAGAGGTTCTATATAGAACCATCTACAGCACATTCTTCATCAATCTCAAGAACCCTTTCACCATGCTGATAAGCACTGAATCACGCAAAGGGTTCTTTGAGTGTTTATGGTTCTATATAGAACATATGTCTTTACTAAAGAACCCTTGAAGAACCATCTTTTTAAGAGTGTAATAGTTTCTAATGATTCTTTTTCACTTTTTCAGCAGGGATAATAATAATAATAATAATAATAATAATAATAATAATATGTTTATTTTTATAGCACTTTTCATAGCGGTGGCAGCTCACAGTGCTCTACAGACAGGAGAGAATGTCTACGGTAATGGGCGACACGATGACGGGTCAGTTTAAAGAGATAAACACCACGAGCCGTAGAGTTTAATGAGCGCTGAGTTAAAGAGCTGCGTTTTCAGGTGTTTATTAAAAGTGAGCTCTGAGCTCGGCTGTCTAATAAAAGCTGAACTGAGCTCCACAGTTTAGAAGCAGAATAACTGAAAGAGTCTCTCCACGTTTTCTGTGTTTTACTGAAGGAGTTCAGAAGGTCAGAATCTGCAGATCTGAGATCATAAACAGACATTCAGGAGCTTTAAGGTCATTTAGAGCTTTAAAAACCAGCAGCAGAGCTTTAAACTCTCTCTAACAGATCCAGGCGGTCAGGACTAAAACTGCTTTCCTCTCATATTAAATGGAACAATAGCAGTTCTTCCTCTGAGGACACTCTCTGTAGTTAAACGCAGTGGAAAGTCAGATCTCGGACGTAATTAAACTCGGAACGCTGTGATCTCTCGAGTAATCACACCAGTTTGTTTGGTGTCCTCTGACGGATGATCTACAGGGGGCGCTGTTGCTCATGTTTTCCTCCAGACGCTGCTGGTAATTTGTTCATAATTAAAGGAGCTCTTTATGTTCAGGGAAGCTTATCCGTGTGTGTCCTGAGTGACTTTCACACTTCTAATCCGTGAATATTAATTAATGAAGCTCCGGAGAGCCCGACTCAGATCTGTTACAGCCTCAATCAGCTAATAATCAGGAAAGTGCAGGAAGAGGGAGGTTAACGCTGCTACTGCTGTTGTTATAATTAATATCTGGAGGGTAATAACCAGCTCCATTTACATATTTCATGCACATAAGTACAGTGTTGATGGATTCGGAGTTTTTCTGCTCAGCAATCTGTGGTTGAGTCCTGTGTTCATAACAGGAATTCAAATAAGAAACCAGCTTCAGCCTCATAGTTCTTGTGCTGAAGTTCTAAGAGGTTCTAAAAGGTTCCCCTGCAGTTCTATGTCTGCTCGAGAGGCGTCCACCTGCAGCTGCATGAACTTCTGCTGTATTTTCTGCAGTTGCTTCAAGTGTAGTTGTATAGTCTGTGATTATTAACGATAATTATTAATACGTCTAATAGGGATGCATTGAAATTTCTGAAATTTCAAAAAATATTTTGGTTGAAAATGATCAAGGGTGGCACTGGAAAGAGAAAAAAGGCTGTAAACTTACTGAAAAAAAATCAATAAGCCTCGAAATCTAACATTTTACAGATCATTTTAACAGTAGTGAAAATTACACACAGGTTTTTTGCCTCACTCTTCTACATCAGTCAGTGCAGCACAGTGACCAAGAACGTCTCCACTGAGGGTTTGATTCCACTTGAAAACACGTCATCCTGCTAGCTAATGTTACTGAATACCATGATAATTTAATCAGTCAAACTCGGAGTACAGTGAGAGTGACCACCATTTACAGTGTGTCTGAGCATTATATAAAAAAGGGACTAAAAAGAGTAAATGTAAATTTAGGATAAAATATAGCAAAGTAAATAAAAAAATAACACTAAAAATTATTAGTAAAACAGAACAGAAGACAAATTAAAAATGAAGAAACTTTTAAGGAGAAATAAGATGAACAAATCAAAACAATTAAATTAAATTATTACGCAGATTAGTAATAAATATAAAGAAGTAAAACTACAGAGTAGGATAAGAAAAAAGATGAAATGGAACAGATTCTAAATATATAATAGGGATGATAAAATAGTAAAGTTTATCAAATACGTGACAAATAGAAATCGAGAAAACAGCTAAAATAAACAAAAGAAAATTAGGAAGAGCACATACACGGGGCAGCACAACTTCAGAATTTATGTGATGAAAGTCAAGTTGTGGTCGACTAATTACTGAGGACGTCATGAATAAACCCCCAGGAGAAGCGTCTGCGACAGGCGACTTTACAAATCCAACTTCAAAATTTGTGATGAAGCCAAACTCCATAGGCCAAGTGGGAAGTATTGCTGACCTTCAGGGAGTCTGAGAATCGGACCCCAGAATCTTGAAAATTTGTATCCTACTTAGGCGCACCATAGGCGGCCTGGCTGAGACTCTCGCCCACGACGGAGCTCCAGAGAGCCAGAGAAGTTTAGAGCACTGTAACTCAGAGAAAATGAGAGTAACTGACTTCAAACTGTACAGGATTACAGGACGTTATGCTTCCCCTCCAACCTCTCAGCACTTTATATTGTAGTCGGAGAAAACAACTTTCAATACCTGATCTTTGAAGCTCTGTAGATCAGTGGAGAAATAGAATGGAGCAAAACTCTTCAGGTCAGTAGAGCGCGATGTGCCCTTTCCAACTGGATCACATTGTTAGCCATCAGGAAACCAGAGACACAGACCCTGAATTCACCTCCTCATCTGCCGTCTTCTCTGAGGCGTCAATATTGTTAGTCTCATAATCACGATCAGCAACTAGAAAACATCAAACTTAACCTTTTTAACTCCTTGGGACCACCGGTGGTTCCAAAACACACTTCGTCATATTCGTCATAACTTTCATATTTCATAAGCTACATTCTAAAGGTGGGGGTCGTATGAGGCTGTAACTGTCTTCTCTCCAGTCAAATAGATGGTGATGTAATTTTAAACCCTTATAATAAATAAAGGTGAACCATTTTTTTTCTACTGAAAGTCGACCCATTTTTCCACAAATCTGGGCTATAAACTATAAACAGATGGCGTCTCTTCAGTGATCTGCTCTGTAAACATTATTTTATAAAATAATACAAAGAGCGTCTAAGATTTTTGGCTTTCAGCAGTAAATTGTAAGCATATAGCAATATGTGTATGATCATAAAACACGTTCTGTTAATTTGAGGGGACCGAAAAAAAAAAAAAAATTATTTCATGCAGTTACTGAATAATTTGCCTTACGATTTGGGCATGTAAATACAGATGGACAAACCAAAATATACCCTATATATAAGAGGTTAAAGCCTCATCACCAAGCAGTAAAAAAAATAGTTTGTTTCAGGTTTATCTGCTGATTGACAAGACTGACCATATCAATAATAAAACTCTTTTCTCATTATTTTGTAGCTTGTTTACACATCCTTCTAAAGCATACATTTTTCTAAGTAAACATTTTATTTTGGAATAAAATCTCTTGACATTAGCTCATATTAAGAGTTGAGAATGTTGTTGCTCTCTCCTGTAAAGTTACTTTTTTTGGACAGCGGTGATCTTTGATGAGCGTCTCAGTGCATCACCATCCTCTACGTGTTACTCCTGTCGGATTTTGAGAGCTGTCCACCTGTCCAGTTTGGATGACTTGAGTTTTTCCTGCAGGTGTTGGAGCAGCACTCGGACGGCAGGTGGAAAGGCTGTATCCATGACAACCGCACAGGAAACGACCGAGTGGGCTACTTCCCTTCCAGCATAGTGGAGGTGATCTGCAAAAGGCCGGGTGCTACAGGTAAGAGATGAAGTAGAACGGTCAGCAGCAGTACTGCCCAATGCTCTGTCTTCTGGAGTTTCCTTCCTGTACACTGTACATCCTCACAGAGTCTGTCAAAAGTTTGGACCCGCCTGCCTGAGTGGACGTTTTTGGTAATATTAAAGATTCTGATTGAAAGGCTCGTGATTAAATGATTACAGCTTGTTTCTAAGACATATGCAGGTAGAAGAGATGTACTGAAATTCAGACCAGCTGCCAGAAACGGTCGAAAGTGGTCGACCAATAGTGATTTAAGATGCTGTTTGTTTTCTTCACTCTCCTGCGATGGACACGTTCAAACGGTTTGATCAGCAGATCAACAGTGTCGCTCAAACACAGTCCTGCAGCTGCGCTCTGTACATCCTTTAACTTACACGCTTTAACATGAACTGATTTAATGAAATTCTTTAATAGAAAACATATAAATCACACTGAGTAGCATAAATATGTGCATTGCTTAGATCCTGCTGGTGTGGGTTCACGACTGTTTCTTCTTTAAATGAAGAACACTAAAGTGACTTGTGTGCTAACACCTCTAGTGGTTCATTTCAGAATTGCAGTCACACTCTCCTGCCCTTCCGAGAGAATTTTAACGTGATTTTTGTTTTTTTAGCACCAAAGCGTATACAGTACATAGTAATGCTGCTTTCATGGACAAGTGAGGCGATAGTTTTGTAGGAGGAGGAACCCGTTAACCTGACGTGCGCTGGGTTTTTGTGACAGATAATGAGAATACTAAAGGAAATGGTTCTATTTAGAACTATGAATTCTACATAGAACCTATATAGAATCAATATCTAAGGATTTCTTAAACATTATGCTGTAATAGCAGAGCCAGTTCTCTGGTAATAGGCATCTGTACATACGTCTCACGCTCTCCATGTTACAAATGGCAAGCATCTTGACCTTTACATGACATCTGCTGGAGAATCTTTAGAGTTACGAAGCCACGCCTACATCATTTACATATTAAAAAACGAGATGATTTCCGTCTGTATAGTGGCACCGCCCTGGAATTCAGCTTTAGATGCCTTTGGGAAACTATGAACTATTATTATTTTACCATTATACAACTTAAATAACACTTTATTTAACAATATTAAAGCTGTTTAAAATGATCTTAATCCTCTAGTTCTGTCAGTTCTCTTTCCCAACATAACAAGTACCTATGAAGCATCATCAGAATAGGTACGTAAATTCAAAAACATAAGTGAAACGGCAAATTTTCTATAAAAACTCTTTCTTTCAGTTTCCAGTTTTCGGTTGTGTCCTGAATTTCAGTTTTAAGTCATAAATTTTCATTTCAGTGCATCGCTAGCAATTAATAAAGTTAATGTCTGTGAACTTATTTCCAAAAGAAAATTAATATACGCCGAGAGTTTGTAAACCTGAATTAAGGCAAAGGGGGGCTACTGAAGAATTAAAAAAAATGAATATAATGTGGAATATATTGTGTTTAGTACTTCTGAAATGTGGAAAATAATACAAATGAAGAAAACCCTTCATGCGTTTGTGTGTCCAAACTTTTAACTGGCACTGCGTTTGAGGAGAGAACTGAACACGCCATATTTCTGTTATAATTGATAACTGATGTAACTCTGAAAGTGTATCAACACTTTGGGCCGTTCCAGTACGATAATCTTACAGCTTCCCCTCGACTCTGGCTGCGTTTACTGAGTGAGCGCCCTCTGGTGGCTCTAAAGGATTTCTGCTCACAACAACTTGCTGTTGTCATGGGAACCGCATCCACGTGGACCAGCCTAACGCCATGTGACCTATGCAGCCGTCTCTTTGACATTTAGCAGACCTTTCTGGATTCAGCCCGGAGTTCAGGAGGACAAATATGCCTGTAGCCTCAGATTATCCTCGTAACGAACAGCTGCAGTATGACAGTTTGAGCAAATGGCAATGATGCAAAAAGGCAAACAGCAGCAGAGAAAGCGTGTGCTGGATCTCTGAGGAGAAGAGAAGAGAAGAAAGAGGAGAAGAAAGGAGAAGCAGAGAAGATGATGAAGGAGAGGAGAAGAAAGGAGAGAGGGGAAAGGCCTTTATTTCCATTGTTGACTCTTTCTGCTGTGTTTCGCTGTTCGGATCAGAAGAGGTGGCTTTAGTCTCAGCTCCGTGTTTGTGTTCATCTGTCCCTCCGTGTTCAGCGTGTTTCATGCTTAACTAAGCATTCGTCAGCATCTTCATCATCAGCTCATTCACTATCCACTCATTCACACACTTAGCTGGAGCGTAGAGTCAACTGTAGGTCACTCTGACAGACTGTAATACACTACAGGAAGTGTAGGGGGCGATATGGTTTCTACTGTTTCATTTAAAAAGCTCTATAATGTTCATATGATCCACACAGTCACTCTGACAGACTGTAATACACTACAGGAAGTGTAGGGGGCGATATGGTTTCTACTGTTTCATTTAAAAAGCTCTATAATGTTCATATGATCCACACAGTCACTCTGACAGACTGTAATACACTACAGGAAGTGTAGGGGGGCGATATGGCTTCTACTGTTTCATTTAAAAAGCCTCTATAATGTTCATATGATCCACACAGTCACTCTGACAGACTGTAATACACTACAGGAAGTGTAGGGGGCGATATGGCTTCTATTGTTTTACTGTAGAAGAAAATGTATCGCAGGTGAAATTTTAAATAATGCCAGCAACAAAAACTTGTCAGTAGGTTAAATGATTATACCGTTATACCTCCTCAGACACGTTCTACATCCATTCCTTTTTCCACTAATTGCTTTCGTCTTTATTTACCACTAAACGCTTTACCATTCCAACAGTGTCGATGCATATATGTATGTATGTATGTATTAGCCTGTACAATATGTGTAACAGTTTTGGCTAATTTAGTCGGTCTTTGTCTCAGCTAATAAGGAGAAACTCACTACTTATCAATCCTCCTTTGTCTGCTTTTATGATTTTGCTGTTTTTAAATTTTGTTGTTGTTGTTGATTTGTTGCTGTTTTGAATTTTTTTCCTCCTTCTGTTAATTTTGTTTTCCCCTCTCTTGCGTGTATTTTGTTTTGTTTTTTTTTCTGTGCCGGTGCTGCTGGTGGTCGTGTTCCTGTATCTAGGTTCATGGAGTACAGTCGTTTGTACCCAACAGTATCAAACCATCCCGCTGTGCGTGAGCGGGTGTGTGTCCCCCACTGCCGCCGTGCCGAACGGGGAATCGTATCATGAGATTCTTATCCTGCCGCCTCCACCCGCGCCTCATGCCCATCAGCCACTTTTTACTTCCTTTGGGTATAACAGGTCGCAAAGCATCTCAGCTGAGCCACTCAACCAACAAGGTACACGCCCCCGACTCTCCACTGAGTATTATTATTATTATTATTATTATTATTATTTATTTCACTTATTCATTATTTCATTCACAAAACTTGGAGGAATGCTTCAAAATTTAAGGATAATTAATCACCAGGAAACTCTGACATTAATAGTTTGGCAAAAAATCTAATGTACTTTGTAATTTTATCCCAGATGTAGTGAATCAGCCAGTAGATGTTTGCCTTTTACGTTTGGGGTGTGACGATTAACACACCAAAATCATCACAGACTGTGTGTAGTTGTTCAGTATCTCTAATACTGATGATGTGGTTTCTGACACTGTGTGACTCACTGTTATCTATAAGTACAGACTAAAGTACAGTAGCATAGCTAAAAAGAGCACCAAGCTGAATTTTGTTTATTTTCAATGATTTAGACACATAGTCTTGATGATGCTATTGGTGGGGTATGAGCTTCCTTTACTTCTTTTACTACAATTAGGTTTGTTTGCATTCATTCCAATGTTATATTGTGTTTTTACTACTGAAAAACATAAGGATCTCTGGTCATCTTAATAGCTGAATCTTTGCAGATAAGTGAGTCATACAGAGTCAGAAACCACATAATCAAGTCTATTAGAGACACTGAACAACAACACAGTTTGATGACTTTTTGTGACTTTTAAAAAAAAACAGGGTTTAAGAAAAACTGAGAGCATTACGCACTTAACGTCAGTTTTTTTAGAGAATTTCTGTGTTTTTATCATGAGAATGCACTCTACACTTTTAAAAAAGAGGGTTCTTCAAGGGTTCTTTAATAGACACAGTGGTTCTGTATTGAACCATGAACACTGTAAAAAACATTTCATGCTTAAATGATTCTTTGCATGGTGAAATAGTTCTTCAGATTGATGGGAAAAGTACTGTGTGTGGTTCTATATAGCACGTTTTTGAAAATGGTTCTATACAGCACCAAAAAGTGTTGTTCTATTGTTTCAAGCTTGTTACAACAGTCTCCATCAATCAGAAGGACAATTTAATCATGCAAATAGTTTGAGTGTTCATGTTTCTGTACAGAACCACTGTCTTTACTTAAGAACCCTTTTGACTCTCTTTTTAAGAGTGTATATAAGGCAAAAAAGGGTGTGACACATAATGAGTTTCAGATATGAAAACCCCACATCTTACTGTTATCACATCATACAAGCAAAGCTAAACTGGTCCTGTTTATGCTTTTATGCTCACACAGGAAGCAAAAACACATCTGTGGATGAATATGTGGCTGAGAAACTTAGAGAGCTAGAGAAATATTTCACTAGAACCTGGTAGCTGAGCTAAAATTGTAAACAGAGTGACGGTTCTTCTGTTTCTACACTCCGCTGTTCACAGTGTGTGACTGTAGATTGAATTACTTGTTCAGTTTCATCACTGATCATCTCACAATACAGGACTCCTGAACTAGGGCTGGGCAATATAATAATATATATCATTATCATGATAAATTATGTCACAATACAATACAATGTGCTTTTCTGAGCATATCGTGTTTATCGTCAGTGCTTGTGGTCCAACTACATGTTCTTTATAAATAGAGCAAAATAAGTCATATTGGATAAAATAATAAAATAAAAATCATTGTGTTCACAGTTTTTGATTGTATTTTTTTAAATGTAGCACTACTGGCTCTTTTTCTCTGATCCAACTGATCAGATGTCTAAAAAATAAATATCGTGACATATTGAGTATCCTGATATTTTTGCCGTATCACTTAACTCTGTTGTGAACATTCCCACCTAGCAGGGAATGTTCCCATGACTTTGGCTAACATTTCCTACAAGTTCTGACAATGTTTAAAGAAAACCTTTAAATCTAATGTTCAAAGAACATTTTAAGGATGTTTAGCAATGCAAATAATGTTCCTATAAGGTTACTTGTTAACTAAGATACAACGTTTTAACTGCAACATGTTTTAAGGATGTTGTCAGGGCAACAGATTATGTTACATGATGTTTTTAGGGAACGGTCCCAGAAGAACATTCTGGGAATAAAAAAAAAGTCCCGCTGAAAACATTAATAGAACATTTGTGTATTATTCTCAAAACATCTTTAGAACAAAAAAATTCTAGCTGGGATTAAATTAAATCATATGAATTAAACATGTTTAACAATGTTGTCACTCCAGAGTTCAATCAGAAGGCTAAACTTTGACTCTCACCACTTGATCATCCACACTGTCAATCTCTCCCAACCTGGAAAATCACTTAGATTGTGAAAATTTGTCAGAAGGGGCAAATCTGGGTTAAAATCAGGCTAAAAGCTGTGCACTGTAGGCCCAGCTAAGCCTGGCAGGTGTAAGATTTAATTACCTGTTAGCTAAATTAACATAAACAAGAAAGAAGCAAACTTACCAAACATGTCTCTGACTGATGGACTACATTTGGCTTAAAATTTGGAAAATTCTGTAAATTGGATTTTTTGCTAAACTACTTTAAAGTTCAGTAGTGTCTCACATTCCTTTAAGTTTTCTGAACCTTTTTATGGATTTGTCTCTTTATTTTTCACATCGTTGACTTTAGCTTTGGTCAGGCAGGTTACCAGCAGGTCGTGTGGGCTTTTGTGTGTTTTGAGCTACCATGTTGTTTCTGATCTTCCCTGACCTTTGACCTCTCCCACTGTCTCTGTACTAATGTGGGGTTCTGTCACACTCAAAAAAGGACAGCATGGCCTCCTCTCTCCTTTGCCTGCGTCTCTGTCTCTGTCCAGTTTCCTGCATTTTTCCTCTCCATCTGACCCTCCTCTGACCTCTGATTAATCCCCCAATCTGAGAATGGACTCTGTTAGAGGAAAAGGCTTTTGCCTGGATACGCAGGATGCTTCTCAATGTGGCGAAAAAAAGAGAGAACGTGAAGAACGCCTGTGTGAACGTTATGGAGCCTTTGCTATTATTACCTCTTATGAACTAGCCAAAGCAATATGACCAAATCTAATTTTCCAGGTAAGATATCTCACCTGTGCCTTTCCACGGAGTAATACGTTATTGTAAATAATGCTGTGGTTTGAATTTCTCAGCATTTATAACCCTGATGAACTTTGCTCTTGTGATGCACTGCAATTCCTCTCGTTTTTAACCTGTTCACATATATAATTATATATCTCTGTATATATTATATATGTACTTATCTATGTGTACGTGTGCCTCAAGGCATTTATATATGTATATACTCGGATATACATGTTTAATCTATATATTTATGTACTAATGTATATAAATGTTCACATATATTTGTGTTTAAAATGTAGTATATTTGCATGTGTGCACTCTGTGAGGTGTGGAGATGAGTGTGTGAGAGAGAGTTTTGATAGAACAGATAGTTTTGTGTGAGGCCTGCAGGTAGGATTAAGGCCAGAAACACACCCCATGCAAGAGCGCAAACACGAATGCTTTGAGCCACACAAACATCAACATTACGTTGCATTGAAGCAAGGGGGCGCTATAGCACATTTTAACCCATGCATACATTGGACAACATATGTTTCTACATGAGAAAATCAGGAGCACTATATATACAGTCATGTGGTTGGTATGGTGTAGTGGGTAAGCACCCTACACTATACCAATACGAGTCCTTGGGCAAGACTCCTAACACTACCTTCACCTACCTGTGTAAAATGGTCAAGCTGTAAGTTGCTCTGGGTAAGAGCATCTGCTAAATGCCATAAATGTAATGTAAATTAAGGTAAAATACGCACTATAGCCACTATAATAAGGAACAGGATTTGTGATTGAAGGCTGTTACGCCCTGAATGTGATGCTAAAAAAACAACATAATAATAGCTGTAGCTCCACCAACTTAGTTGTCGTCATGCCAACGGCAGAGGCAACCATGATTGGTTAGTGAGTTTGGTAACACTTTCTATGAATGTCACCTTTGTAAGCATCTATAAACACATTCATAACATGTTATAATGCATTCATAGACATTATAAACATAGCTATAAATATTTATAAAAATGCATTACACGTTATAGCCATGTTTATTATGCATTATGAATTGTTAACATAATACATTATAAGTACTGATCATAACAAATTATAAGAGCTCATAAGTCGTATTTGTCCGCTCTAAGTAAAGTGAAGAGTACTGTACTAAAGCCTCCTCCAGTGTTCAGAGTGAGGCTTCAAGTTGAAGTATTTACTGAAGGATTTACTGAAACACTAAAACATTCACAGTAAAGCACATTACAGGCTTCAAATGTCAGAGTTTAAACTAGAGCTGCCATCAGTGTTTTACCCAATGTGAGAAAGGTAATGTACACCACCGTTAGCTTGGTATTCGTCTTTACTTTACGCTCTCCAAGCTGGGACTGACTTCTTTGGCATAGACATTATAACATGTTATTAACACTATTTATAATGCATTATATTAACAATTCATAATGTATAATAAACATGGCTATAAAGTGTAATTCAGTGTAATTCTTTTTTATAAATATTTATAACCATCTTTATAATGCCTTATGAATACATTATAACATGTTATAAATGTGTTTATAGATGCTTACAAATGTGACATTCATAGAAAGTGTTACCGTGAGTTTTTGTCACGGGTGAAGGTTCACAAAAATTGAACAGAGAGCGAATAAAATAACGTTACATTTTCACTCTCTGAAACGTCGTGTTTGTTGTGCAACATACCGTCAGTTATACACCTTTGAATTCATTTACTGTTGTCTGAATAAATCACACAGATAAATCATGTTCGGTGTGTAACAGCCTTCAGGTAAAGTTTACAGTTTAAATCACATTTCAGTTACTAGCTTAATAATATTTACGTTGCGTACGTCACTCATACATCTCCAAGAAAACAATAGGCATTTAAATATACATTTTCTCTCTATGGATTATTTTTGTCTGTCCTTGTATGCAATTTGTGTGCGTGTGCTCCCTGCGTCAGCTGACTCTGACCTGTCCAATCCTCTCATCATGCTAATCAGACACGGCTCTGTGAGATTTACACTAGAAGATTTTACTTCAGCTGTTTTTGAAGTGTTTCTACTGAAACAGCATCATTTCAATCAGCATAACCGACTGTCTTATTCAGAATCAGGCCTTTTAAATGATGTTTACAGAGACCGGCTACTTCTTTCTGACCAAGCAGCAGTTGTTAAACAGGGGGTTAAGTCAGTTTAATAAATCTAAAAAAGTGGTACAGGTTTAACAAAAGTAGATGTTATTAAATATGAAATACGTTCCGAGTAAATGTCACAAAATAGTGCCATGTCTCTCATATGTGGAGGTCAGTGAGAGCTGCAGGGAAAGCTACCAAAATGGACAGAGTATTGTAAGACATTGTTCTCATTTGTTAAGTGAAAGAAATAAAGAGGGCCACTGTGTTTTCAGGCAGCTACAGGATTGCAGACTCACAGAATAGTGCACTGTGTGTTTTGGACGCAGCCCTACTTCCCATTCTTTGAGCAATTCAGCACCCAAAGTACCTAACTTGTTTTTTTTTTGTGATTATTTTCACCTATGCAACAATAAAGCAGCACAGCGCCCTCAACTGTTGACACATTGATTGCTATTGTGTTTTTTATAGCAATTTGCAGAGATGCTGATTTGATTTAAACAGCATAGTAACGTGGAATTTGTACTGCGGAAACTCGTATTTGTTAATTGCCGGGTGTTGGCATTTGCGTGGGGAGTGTTTCTGGCCTATATCAAGAATGGACGGACCCTTCACTAACTGACCGTACCTCAGACATCCTCCTGACCACCGGAGGGCAGTGCAGGCTGGAGCAGGGCGGCGGGCGTTAACGCTGATTTCTGTGTTGAAGGTTCCCGCGGTTCAGAGTCCAGCCCTCACGGCTCCCCGACTCCCTCTGGCGGGCCACAGGGGGGCAGCAGTGAGGAGATCTGGGTCCTGCGCAAGCCTGTGGCAGGTAACAGCAGGGCCTAACCCCCCCTCCAGCCTAGGGATGCTCCGATCTTGCTCTTTGGGTCTGATAGCAACCACTAATTCCATGTCGTCAGATTTTTTTCTTAAGCATAGATGAGATGTGAAAGAGCAAAGCCAAAACAATCACAGAGAGACGTAATCTGGTACTTTTTGTAGCCATCTAGCTATTATTTCTGTCGTACTTTTAGGCAAGACAAGTTTATTTGTACAGCACCTTTCATACACTGCGGTCACTCAAAGTGCTTTACAGATGAGAAAATACGAAGATAATGTTAATTAACATATAAAAAGATGTAGAATAGAATTAAAACATCATTAAAACAACAGATTTAAAAGGGAAGAAATAATCATTAAATTAAAATCAGATTAAAGCTGAACTGAGTATAATAGAGCGGCGTTAGAGGAGAGAAGAGCAGCAGAGCTAACAGTGTTCAAACTGAGCTGAAAGCTGCTCTAACAGGATCGTTTTCAGGCTGATTTAAAGTGTCCAGTGTTGGGCTCTTCTAATGCTCTCTGGGTCCATTTAAGAGCAGCACAGTATCTAAACGCTGCTTCTCCATGTTTAGTCTTCACCTTCGGACTAACTGACCAGTTCCTAATGATCTGAGAGTTCTGCTCGGCTCGTATTGCTGCAGTAGATCAGATAAATACGCTGCTTCTGAGCAGTAGAGCAGTAACAGCTCCTTAAAGTCTATTCTGGAACAGACTGGTTGCCAGTGTAAGGGTTTAAGAATGGGGGGGTCCAGTTAGGAGACCATTACAGTGATCAATCCTGCTGGAATGCTAGATAATATTATATGACTTAGCTAATGTTAGTGTTGTTTGGATAATGCAGTGTATTTACGAGGTTGACCCATATTTCGTTGGAGGACTGCTGCTACTAGATGTCAGCCTAATTAAACTCTTTTGCTAACAAGGCTGTTGTTTCCTAATAAGCAACCTTTGATTCTTTACACAATTTTAGGTCACACTTTATTTGGCTGGTGCCCTATAGATGCTCCACAGATACTTAAATCATTAACAACCTTTCTGGCGATACTCAGTTGATTATCAACAACATTGCGGTTATGGTTAGGGTTAGGAGTAGGTGGAGGTTTTGCCTTGAGGTTAGGGTTAGGTTTAAGTTTAGGGTTAGGAAAAGATTTAATAAAATCTTTCATACTGAGCTTGAAGTTCAGTTACGTTTAGTTGAATGATACTTAAAGACAGACTGATCATTTACAAAGTATCCACAGTGGACCATCCAAATGAAGTGTTACTCAGTTTTCCATGTGATGGAGAAACATTTTAAAATGTGCCTTTCACTTCCCAGTCCATACAGTCCGAATATGGGAACTAAGCTGCAAAAACAGCCAGTTTTGAATTTGGTGTTTTATAACACACAGAACTCTGCGGAAGCATCCAAGCATATTACTTAAAATCATTCATATGTACAGTGTGCAAAAATCTGATTTTTTGCATAATCTGACCTCACAAATACGATGGTTCACATTTGTGTTGGTAAGTGACTCAAATCTGCCTAATGTGAACCTGCGTCCTGAAACAACCCACATGCGGACTCAGATCTGGAAATATGAGATTAAGGATCCTGTTTTAAAAGCTATTTACTAGTTTCTATCTTTGAATTCATAGTTTATTCTTAAACTGATTATGAATTTGTACATTAGACAGAGAACCAGTCTGTACCGTCTGTCTCTCACTAAAACAACCTCTTTTAAGATTCAGACACACAAACTCAAGTTCAGCTGCTCGATTTAAGAATCACACATACATTTTTAAAAATACATTTTTTTTAAATATCAGTGGCCCAACAGGCTTCATCCACCAGGAGGTGAACGCTGAGTGCAGTTTCTCTCTCAGTGCTGGCTGTGATGTCAGTAAAATCAGTGTTCTGTTGTAAGACGTCTGCTCTGAGATTAAGGACTAGTTTTAAAATTAAATACGGGTTTTTAATTAAAGAGCTATTTCAACATCAGACAGCTTATTTCAGTATCAGCAGAATCACCTCCACTAGAGTTCAGTCATTTACACTGAATTACTCATTTATTTTCTCCTTTTTCAGCCTTGTGCTGAAATTAAGAACGCAAAAAACTGAATTAAGAATTATTTGCTAATATTCAGTGTGTTTGACTGATTACTGAGCTGTAGTGAGTCTGATCTCAAGTAATCTGATCTAAAAATCAGCATTTTCTACTTATTCCAGACCTTTGAACTCTTATCAGAGCTGCTTATTTTTCGATTGGCACTTATTTTAAGATTTCTTGTCCAGTAAAATGATTTTGCTGCAAGAACAGAAAATTTCATTTCTCTGTTTATTTCCTTTATTTTAGCTCATCTTTATTGCAGTGTAAATATAATGTTTGCTTCATTGATGATTATCAGATATTTTTGTATTCAAATTGAATGAAGACATTAGAGATTCAGACGAGGTGTTTCAAATAAAAATCGTCCAGTTTGGCTCGTCAGCCGCTCGATCGGAGCATCCCTCCCTCCCCTCCCCTCCCCCCCTCCTCTCTCTCATCCCTCGCTCGCCCTGGTCTGTCCTGCTCCTCTCCAGGCCACTGTTTCTCCGCCTGACCTCAGATGCTCCTCGGCTGCGGACACCCAGCCTCCATGCGCTGTCAGAGGAGCGTCCACTGAGTCAGCTCCAGCAGAGCCCTGCACACTGACCCGCGGCCGTGTGGAGGGCTGAGCGCTGACTCTCAGTGGACCAGGACGCCTCCTGTCTGCTGTGTGTCATACAGATTAAGCTCATCAGACCATTAGATCCACCTCTCACTCTGTGCCGTCCACGTCTGTCCGTCACCGTGTCCAGTCTGTGATCACACGCTGCTCTTCCAGCAGTCCACTCGTTAAAGGGAGAGTTTGGAGAGGAGGCTGATTTACACAGTTTTACACTGATGCCAAAATCCAGCAGTCAACTGAGACGTTTGCTACTTCAGGTTTAGTGCTGGAGTTACGAGGCTAATGTTGCTAATGGGTAATAAACATGTACCCCAACAACTAGCACTGTTACTATACTGCTCAAAGGTTTTACACTCTCTTAAAAAAGATTTCTTCATATCTAGAACTTCTACATAGAACAGGGCTCGGCAACATGCGGCTCTTTACTGCCCTGTTGCTCCACAGTGGAATCAGATTAGTAGGTAAAAATAAAATAATCCTCCTTTACAGTAAAATAAAGCTCTGCTGATCGTTCAACACAGTTTAACAATAAATGGTCTTAAACTCTGGAGTTAATGTAGAACTGCTAATTCACCCTTTAACCCTGAAGATCAGCACAGACTGCTGGTCACCATAGCAACACAGACAACAGTCTCACCTAGCTAGTAGCTACGAAACGGCAAAGAGAGAGATTTAAGATGAACATCGATAATCTGGAGATGAATGGACTGATTAGTGTTTATAATCACTCCAGCTGGTTTCCTGATATGTTTAATCTGCAGCGAGAAACTGATGAACACTGAAAAGTCGCAAAGTCAGTTTCTCATTCGCCAGCTTCTCGTTCGAATTTTCTCGTTCCACCTTAAATGGTGCAGCAGTTACATTCTGGCACCTCAGGCACATTTAAGGTGTAACGGGAAAATTCAAACAAGACGCTGGCAAATGAGAAACTGACTTCAGCTTCGTGACTTTTTAGCGTTTGTCAGTTTCTCGTTGCAGATTCAGCCTCATAAAAAATCTAACATTGAGTGACATTTTACAAGAAACTGTTCTACTTTTGTGTAAAAGTTTCCTGCTGGAGATGCGAGAAAAGCAGCTATAACTGAGCCAAAGCTTAAAGCAGAGCAAAGTCAGTCTGTATTTTCATGTACATTATATGTTTTTATCCTATACTAGCACATTAACACATACTGGGACATTTACAGCAAAGATTATCAATATGAGAAAAATAACAGTAATTTTATTTATAGAGCACTTTTTGGTAGCAGCTCAGAATACTTTACAGACTTAACTGTAATAGTAGAAATTATAAGTATTAATTTAAAACCATATAAGACAATAACACAGATCAGATTAAACAGATAAAGACCAAACAGACGTAGAGTTTAATGAGCGCTGAGTTAAAGAGCTGCGTTTTCAGGTGTTTATTAAAAGTGAGCTCTGAGCTCGACTGTCTAATAAAAGCTGAACTGAGCTCCACAGTTTAGAAGCAGAATAACTGAAAGAGTCTCTCCACGTTTTCTGTGTTTTACTGAAGGAGTTCAGAAGGTCAGAATCTGCAGATCTGAGATCATAAACAGACGGTCAGGAGCTTTAAGGTCATTTAGAGCTTCAAAAACCAGCAGCAGAGCTTTAAACTCTCTCTAACAGATCCAGGCGGTCAGTGCAGTGTGTACCGGGGTGATATGAGCTCTCTGTGTTGGTGCTGTGAGGATCCGTTCTGCTGCGTTCTGTACGGGTTCTAGAGGATGGACTGTTTTCTCCAGTGAGAGATCATTACAGTGATCAACTCTGCTGAACAAACGCAGCTACGAGTTTCTCTGCGTCGCTCTGAGAGAGAAAAGACTGAACTTTAGTGATTTTCTCACATGATTAAAAGCTGCTTTAGTGACTGTTTACATGCTGATTAAACAGAGCTGAGTCTAAGATCTCACTCAGGTTTCTACTGCAGGTTTAGTGTTTGAAGATAAAGAGCTGAGATTCTCATAAAGCAGCCTTCTCTGAGTTTTAATAACAACGATCAGTATTTCAGTTTTTTTTTGTGATTTAGTTGTAGAAAATTTAGTGAGTAATATTTGATACACAGCTGGTCAGAATCTTGATCATCAGAAGGAATAGGAAATATATAAATGTGTGTCGTTAGCATAGCTATAAAATATTGATATTATGTTTCCAAATGACATCACCCAGAAGTAACATGTACAAAGAGAAAAGCAAAGGCCCTAAAACTGAACCCTGAGGGACGCCACAAACACTTTCAAAAGCTAATGTGCTTCAGTCTTTTTTATTTATGTTTATAAATAACAGTGAGTCATACAGTGTCAGAAACCACATAATTAAGTCTGTTAGAAATACTGAACAACTACATACAGTTTGAGGCACTTACACAGAGTTAGCACCATGTTTCTTGTTAGCTACATTAGCCTCATATCTCCAGTGCTAATTCTAATTGTGTGTCATCAGCATATTGTTTGAAAATTGATATTATGTTTCCTAATGATAACACTTTGCGGCCCTACAACTGAACCCTGTGGGACTCCACAAAAATGTTAAATGCTAATGTGCTTTAGTCATACAGTGTCAGAAACCACATAATTAAGTCTGTTAGAGATACTGAACAACTACATACAGTTTATGGCATTTAGACATACAGTTAGCATCATGTTACTTAGCTACATTAGCCTCACAGCTCCAGTGCTGAAACTGAAGAAGCAAACTTCAGACACCGAACACGTCTCGGCTGATCAGCTACATTTAAAGTGAGGGGGTTAAATTGTGCAAATCTGAGTTTCCACCAAACTGTCGCTTTAAGTATTCTCTCTGTCCACTCTAACAGCCTGACGTCCATGATTGCAGTGCATCCGCTGTCACCTCACGCATGTTTCAGTATCAGTGCATTGCAGTGGAGCGTGAGTTCAGGGCCAGTCAGAAGCAGCCTGGACTCACTGTCTGTCTGTCTGTCTGTCCGTCTGTCCGTGCATGTGTTGTTTCAGGTGGAGATCGCAGCAGTGTGGGCAGTTCGGGCAGCGTGGCCAGTGCCCGCTCCTCAGGCAGTGGTCAGAGCGCTGGGAGCAGCTCCCACATTCTCCATGCCCAGGCTGAGGGGGTGAAGGTGAGAGTGATTTCAGACCTGCTTCTACAGACTCAGAGGACCTTATGCGGACGCCTCGTCCACTCAAACCTGGACAAGTTCTCTGTTTTTAAGACCTGGATCATCCCACAGTTTTATGGGCCTGAGCCACTAGGGGGCAGTGGGAAGCCTACTAGTGGAAAAAATGAACTAAATTCTATTTTGTTATTGTGTTACGGCCGAACGATCATAATCCTGATCCTTTATCTTCTCCTCCAATCACTGCTTAGCAGCCGTTACACTGTCCGCCATTACCTCAGTCAAGCTTTCAGGTTTTAGCAGTGATGTCCTTTCTTTGGATGTACTTTGAATTTGGAGCTTCAGAGATTCAGAAGATGTGTTTGGTGGATCTCTTAAAGTGATACATGATACCCCAACAGAGTAGCGGACGCACGTTTCCCCAAGCCAGATTTAAAACATCAGCAAGAGTTAAAGAAAAAAGGTGCATCGTCTTGGTCAGCAGTGATCTGTGAATTGTCTACTTCGACGTGGCACTGTTGATGATGATTGACAGTTTGGGTTTTTAAGTTTGCTGCTTTTTTCGTCTTTATGTCCATCTCAGCTGTCTGATATTAATTGATGTCATCTTCCTTGGGTAATGTGCTTGTGAAGATTGGACACATGCTTTATAGGAGGAAGTGTTTTATTGGTTGTTGAGCTTATGTTAATTGCTCTCGTTAATGTGTAATCTTGCTCCTGTTTTGTCTCAGTTGGAATATAAATATGCACCTATAATAGTGACATGTCCAAACAGGAGCCCTCGAACATTTGTGCCCAGGTTATTTGATGACCCGGGCCTGCCACCTGTCCACACCTAAACAGCATTTCGATTTTTAAATGAATTAGATTTTTAAACATTTTCATTACTTTTATCATCCTTTGAAATTAATTAGGCAACTTCATCATATTAATAAAATATCAGACGAGTCAGTTTCCATTCTGCCAGTGGAAAGTTCTGAAAAAACTTGACGACTGGGCTGTTTCTGTGTGCTCCGTAAAATTGAGGTGATAATATGTTTTCAACTTAATTCAGCTTTACTTTTCGTTAAACGGCAGTGCGGAGGTGTCAGAATGTACTGCAGTCAGCTCTTTAAATGGAGACTCAGCGCAATCACAACAAAATATTAAAAACACCTCAATAATTCTGAAGATGTGCGACTTAATGATCATGATCCAGTCAAATCTGAACAAAATCTGATCTTCGATGTTCAGAATTGAAAGCTACCTTTTGATCAGGACAGCGGTGACGCAGCCACGGCAACGTTTACAACCTCACAGCGTTAGAGGCGGCTTTCTTTTGTTTTTCAAGCTTTTATTTTCTGGCAGTAATCGGACGTTGAATCTGTGTAAAATACTGACAGCTTATTATGGTTGTAATGCCGCCGTCATTTTGTTCAAAAATCTCTGCGTCAGCTTAGCGCTGTATATTTTGTGCAGTACGCATGTTCAGTGTTATTCTTGAGGTGTTTCACATTACATTGTATGAGGTGTTATGATGCTCGGTTTAATTATTAGAGCGTTTTTTTTAGTTGTTTTGCATTCTCTTATGGATAGAGATATCAGGGTTTTTTTGGAAAACAGAAAAAAAAAACATACATAAGAGTTCAGTAGCACTCAACTGTTTGGAGGCACCTGTTGATCAAGGGCTTTTTCTTATTATTTAAATTATCTTGAACTATCATAACTTTTAATCAAGAAACAAACAAAATTTCTTTGTCAGAAAATGCTTTTTCTCTTTTTAAAAAATTTTAAAATCTTAAATTTCAATTATATTTTGCCATATAAGTTACCAATTAAACGATTAAGTAATAATAATAATAATAATAATAATGATTCAGGCCTTTTGCATTATATTTACAGCAATAATGTTTTCATAACAAAAAGTAACATTTGTAATTTCTTATTACAATTAAAAATGAAATTAACATGCTGACATTTTTCTTTACTGACGAGCTGTTTTAGCTTTTATTTCCTCAAGCACGTCTTGTTTCTCCTCTGTTCTCCTACAACAGCACTTAGAAGTTGCCGTTATGTTGGTTAATGAGCTGAGTGTGTGTATAAGTGATTTGTTGCATGTGAGACCAAACATGTTTATAGAAAATATCATTCATTCTATATCTGCCTTTTAGCAGGAAAATGACCGTCAGAGCGGTCCAGGCATGTTATGTGTCGTGTTATGAATTCCTACCACAGCATGTTGAATAAGAGGATAGCGCAGTCAGAGCCTCACATCACAGTAAAACACGCTTCAATCTTCATTTATGAATCAGCAAACGTGCAACTGCCACTCTATTCACTCGTAACGTCTGTAAATCTGCTGCTGCGCTTTACGAATCTGGCCAATGTGTCCTAATCCACATCTTCAAGTCTGCGGCACCTTAACGAAGACCTGGATGAGGTTTGAGCAGGTTGAGAGAAGTTTTGAGGATGTATTTATGGAAAAAATATTTGGGTGACTATTGACTTCTAGTGTGAGCAGTGTTAGTCTTGTAGCTCCAGTATAATAATCTAAATAAGTACATTTTGGACTACAGTCTTGTTTCGCCTGATCAGTTACGTCAGGAGTGATTGGTAAACTGTGAGGCAAGTGTGTGATGATCAACGACATTTGGGGAAATAGGAAAATTGATTACTTTATATTTACCAGTAGTGCTGTTCAACGCTGAGTTATTAATGATCTGTTGATGTTTTGTTCGTCCTGCAGCTTCTGGCTACAGTGCTGTCGCAGTCGGCTAAAGCTAAAGAGCACCTTCTGGAACAGTCCAAGTCCCTGGAGCATTCGTCCATCACCACAGCTAAGGGTACGCATGAAGAACAGTTTAGAAAGAAGTCTATTATTGATTATATCGCCACGGAAGTGATTTGCATAATGATTATAATATCGCCCCCTGCTGCATGAGTTCCAAATCCCTGTTCATGTGCACACATATAAAACAAACAGGTGTTTTCTGTTGTTCTAGAGTTGCTCTGAAGTTCACCTGTATTCAAAACATCGGGACACTTGATTAGGAGATTCCACACAGTTTGTGAAATGGTTGATTGTAGAGATGTGTTTACAGTGGTGGTGATAGGAACCAGGGGTCGCCATGACTACAACACAAATATAGACATTTTATTTACTATCCAGAACCACCAGTGAACCTACACGAGTCTTCTGAGTTTATATGGAATGTTGATGATGGAAAATAGTGGAAAATCTGAAATAATAAGTTTTCTTTGGGGACTATTTTGCCTCACAGCGCCCTGCATGTATCCCTCCACCATGAATGGAGTTTAGGTTCTCTAAACTATCATAAAACAGTGTCTCAGTCATCAGGCAGTGAATTCATAACCATTTCATGTAGGAACTTTCTGTGAGGGAGCTTTTAGAGGTGGACGTCTGGTTCCTATCACCACCACTGTGAACAGTTCGGACTCGGTAAGTTTCGGTTTCACACCAAAACACTCTGAATGACTCTGTTTACATCTTAAGCATTTAATTATGCAGGAATTTTTCGCACTCATATTTAATATTAGGGGCGGACAATATGATGATACTGTGATTTATTAAGTATAGTTTTAAGTATAGTGTTTTTTTCTATATCGCCCACCCTTAATATTATTTAGCAAACTGTTTAACATTAAATCAGTCTTCTGTCAGTTTCCCATCACGTCTGATTATTTATCAGTTAGTGGCCGATATCTGATTACGTCACCCCTCCGTCCAGGCCTATCTTTTCATGAATCGAGTTCTGCTGTAAAAGCTCGGTGTGAGGTGTTACAGTACTGAGAGTTTGGCCGCTCTACTGTACCAGATGGCCGTGGGAGGAGGAGCAGGGGCGAGAGGATTGGCTAAGGAGGCCAGTTGGTCAAGCAACAGAAAAGTGGATTGGTTCTGCCACGTTAACGCGCCAACGTGTGCGTGTTTCCTGCAGGTCCCACCTCGCGCAGCCAGAGCGTGTCGAGCTGTCCTCTCCACGAGCAGCCGTACTCAGAGTCTCAGAGGAAAGACGCTCAGTCCGAGGGGAAGGTAAGAGGGGCTGAACCTGCTCTCACACACACGGACAGGTGCGCCTTCACCTTCACACACGCTGATCAGGATGCTGCCGCAGCACTTCCTGTCTCAGCTCGCTTCATCTGTGCTGCAGGCTTTGGGCTGCAGGAGAGACACGGTGAGTGGCAGTCCTCTCTCTCTCCCTCTCTCTCTCTCTCTCTCTCTCTCTTCTCTCTCAGTCTCAGTCTTTTTCTCTCTCAGTCTCTCTCTCTCTCTCTCTGTCTCTCAGTGTCTCTCTCTCTCTCTTTCTCTCTCTGTCTCTCTCTCTCTGTCTCTCTCTCTCTTTCTCTCTCTCTCTCTCTTTCTCTCTCAGTCTCTCTCTCAGTGTCTCTCTCTCTCTGTCTCTCTTTCTTTGTTTCTCTCTCACTCTCTCTCTTTCATGCTCTCTCTCTCTCTCAGTCTCAGTCTCTTTCTCTCTCAGTCTCTCTCTCGCTCTCTCTCTCTCCTCTCACTGCCCATTAGGGCTACGTGATTTTGACATAACGTGATGATCGATAAAGCTGTCGGGTATCACCGTGACGATAAGAGAAGCGATAAATTATGATTATGATAATTAAGATGGACTTTTCTTGCTCGATTTTTCGTTCCACCTTAAAACGTGCCGCAGTAACATTCTGGCACATTTAGGCACTGGAATGTAATCACCACAGCATTTAAAGGTGGGACGGAAGATTCGAGTAAGACGCTTTGTCAGAAACTGTTAATGTAAATCACTGTAAGTGCTAACAAACGATCATTGTGGTGGGTTTTTAGATGAGCTACTGAGAAAACACACTGCAGAGAATGATCAGTGACATGGGGGTTATTTTTTAACAAGGTGTGGCCACAAATTACTGTACTGAGGCCATGAATTAATATATTCAGACCACACATTACTTTATTTAGGCTACAAATTACTATAATTAGGCCACAAATTAATATTTTGAGGCACCAATTACTATATTGAGGCCACAAATTACTATGTTAAGGCCACAAATTAATATGTTGAGGCCACAAATTAATATATTGAGGCCACAAATTACTATATAGAGGCCCTAAATTATTATATTGAGGCCATAAATTAATATGTTGAGGGCACAAATTACTATGTTAAGGCCACAAATTAATATATTAAGGCCACAAATTAATGTATTGAGGCCACAAATTACTATATTGAGGTCATGAATTCATATATTCAGGCCACAGATTAATATACTGAATTACTCTTTTACTGTACTCCTACTAATCCCTGGCTGAAGACCCAGTGAGTTACTACACTGTAATAATTACACAGCTTACCTGAAAAATTGAGAAACCAGGTTAACTTATAATGTTGAGTTCAGCTTCAAATAATAAGTAAACAAATGTAAAACAAATTATTCAGTAAGTTCAATGAAGTTAAGATTAAGAAGTCAAGTTAATCATGTTACTGTTTAAGTTTAAAAGCTGCTTAATGTGATTCATTGATTATGTGTCGTTTATATGATTTGATCTGTTCTGTCATCACAGAAACTCTTATTGCGATAATGATAAACATATGAAATGTTAATGTTCTCACTGTAATATATACACATATAACTGACACATCAGACCACTGATGACCACCCTGCTCTCTCGGCTCGCTCCGCCTGCACGAACTTTATGCAAATGAGTTGAGTGCCGATCAGTCAGACTGTTGCATATGTGGTACCGTAACCGACGGTGTCACTCCGGTGGGCACACGGTGGACCACTGAGCGGGGGATTAAATAAAAACACAAGACTTTATTATGTTAGATGCTTTTTAAGTGTAAAAATAGGTCGTTTTGGGGCTCAGAACTGCATTCGTAAACAAAAGATGGTTCTTTAAGTGTTCTTTAGTAAAGACAGGGGTTCTATATTAAATCCTGAACACTAAAATAATTCAGATTGATGCAGAATGTATTGTATATGGTTCTCTATAGCACCAAAAAGGGTTCTGCTATTGTTACAAGCTTGACATTGTAATAAGAGCAGAACTATTTCTGGTGCTACATAGAACGCTTATCAAAAAGGTTCTATATAGAAACATATACACACGTTCTCCATCAATCTGAAGAACCACGTAACCATGCAGAGAACCACTTAAGCATGCAAATGGTTCTTGGCGTTTTCATAGAACCATTGTCTTCACTAAAGAACCCTTAAAGAACCTTCTTTCATTTTAAGAGTGTTACTTTTCATAACCTAATGTTTTAAAACAGAACCATAAAATATTAGGCTGGAGTGACGACGGCGTGTGTGGAGTCCGTAATAAATCATCATAATAATTAATGAATTAAAAATATAATTATTATGTATTATGGTACAGTTATGTTCCCTGACGAAAGGTACTGAAGATGTAGCCTTAAGGGTTCTGCCTCACTGACAGTTCAGTACCTTTTTTTCTGTGTAGATCTTTACTACAGTCAATTTACTTTAAGGTTCCAGGGCTGTTTTACAGAAACTTCCTCTCTTTCAGTCTTAACGTAAGATCTTTTAGGTCAAATTAGATCTTTCACAAATCCATATTACAGAAGCAAATCTGATCTCAATTTAGGAGTCTTATAGCTTCTTATGTCCAGTTAGGAAATCTTAACCTACTTGATCAAAGTTGACAATCAGCTGTCATGTCTGTTTCCTAGCAACCGACCACAAACACACACAGCTGAAACTTAATCAAAATAATCTTAGCCAGACAGCTACCATTACTGATACTCAAACAGAACTAAAGAGTGATAGACTGTAAGTAGTGAATACTGTGAGAGCGCCCCCTGCTGTTTATCAGAGCGTCGCCGCTCCCCAGTTTCAGTCTCCATTTCCCAAACGCTTTAGCCGAGCGCGCTAACGTTACTCCTCCTAATAAACAGACACACGTTCAGCTCCGTCTCCTCATTATTCACCACCATCACTGTAATATTTCATCATCAACATTAACACACGAAGGTGATCAGAGGGGCGGTGGAGATCGAGTCTGCAGCGTCTGAGATCTTTAAAACGCAGAGTTAGAAAAGAAAATCATCTCACAGTGAAAGCAGCGTTTTACAGTAGAGATAAATGGAGCTCATTATGCTGGTAGTGAACTATGCTGCTGACTCAGCTGCCTAAAAACCATAGAAACGGACCTTAAACAGAAGTGAGGACCCTGTTGGGGTTCATCCTAAAGTTAGGACAGGATTTAGGAGGTTCAGTCTAGTTAGGATGTTTGTGTGATGCTGTTTTCTTATCTGGAGTTCATGATGAGATTATGAAGTCAGGAACTGTTATTCTGGAACAGCTACTGTCCTGAATTCAGTCCGTACTGAAGTCGTCATGGTGACTGAACAGATCAGATCTAAGGGTTAAGAAGTTTCTGTAATACGGCTCCAGATCTTTTTTTACATTATTTTTGGCAGTAGCAGTGAAACAATCCTTGAGTCTTGGGGTGCCGCTGCGCCCTCAGCACCTGTACTTACTGCGTCCCGTTTAATATGATATTGTTTCCCTCTAAATAAAACCTGTGCAGCCTTTAAAACAGTAAACAAACAACAGAAAACGTGCTGATTTTAAAAAGCTAGCTATCCCCAAATGGGCGGTGTGTCTGTCCTCCTCTCTCTCCTCTCCTCTCTCCAGCTCCACTACACTGACTCCTCCTGTAGGTGTTCCTCTGCGTCCTGGCCAAGCTCCTCATCCGTCATTCTCTACCATCTCTTCTTTCATTTGCTGCTTTTAGAAACCCATTCCAGACTTTTTATTTAGCCTGCGATTTCTGTTCAGGAGGTACCAGCAGTGTAGACTCTTTTTATTTGGTGTGGCAATAAAACGAAACGAGTGTGTGAGAGTTAGAGCCTGATTTTTTGAGATTTCCACCATCCTGACTGCCTTGGATCTTGTGAAGCTCCCAGATGGAGCGCAGTGGAACTAATTCAGCAGTTCCAGCATTTGCTTTGAGAGAAATCTGATGGCTTCGGGTTTGTGAAGTGCTGAGTGGCTTCATGCCTGAAGACCAGATCTTACTGGCCATCTGACCAGCTCTGCTCGGTCTTTCCTTTCAAAAAAAGAAACGCTGTACAGTTTCCACCAGCCAGAGATTCACTATATGTCCAAAAGTTTGTAGACGCCTGCTTTGGAGAACCGACAGTCCACAGTCCAATGCTGTGGAACTTGGCTTTGGGCGTGGTGACCTTAGCCTTGTAACTTCTCCAGAGAATCCCATCCACAGTGCTTTTAAGGCTGAGATGATTAGCAGTTTTGTAAAAAAAATATAAATTTGGACAAAATTCTCAATAAATATTGATTTTTTTATTGTCTAAATACATTGGTATTTTACAGTAACATTCTGCATATCTAGGGCAGTTCTTATTTTCACCTGGGGGGGGGGCAAAGCCTAGCAACCTTTTCACACTTTTACAAGTTTTACATAAAAAACTAATTTTGAAAACTTAACATCAGAGGTCACGGTTGCTCTTGTAGTTTGTTTACTTCTTTTAGTGCTCAAAGCTTCGAGCTGAAGCAGAGCTTCACAGCACCTGCTCTAGAGCTCCCCTCCAAGTCAGCGATGGTCTAGTTTAGCAGAATGGGCTGTTACCCCATTATCCATTAAAAATTTACATGACAACTAAACATTAAAGGGGAATTTTTCAACATTTCTGATAATAAATTCGTTAAGATTTAAAGTCATTCAGGCAGTTTCTGAAGTGAAATGGTGCATTAACGATGCACTTAACTGTAACTTACCAACTCGGATTTCTTTACAGTGGGCTTTAAATAGCCAAACCCGCAGATGAGAAGTGTTATGCAGACACTTTTGGACATATATACTGTCTCCTCCCTGAAAGGAACAGACTCTGAGCTTCTCACTTCTCTGTGAGAGTGGGCAGTGCTTAGCATGTTAGCTTCGACTGCTATCATATTGGCAGATTGCTCAGCTCCTCAGTGCCTTCTTTCCACAGTGCATGCATGTGACGGTGGGTGAGAGGACTCGTAGACGTCCTCAGGGTTCATGTAAAGCAACGCCAACTCGTATCTGATCTGTCTTGTCCCCGTTGCCCTATTGGCCTTTGGCTCTCAGAGGCCAGCGCTGCGTTTACTCCCACATCTGTGCGCTGTCGTGTTTGGTTGAGAAAAATTTGTCCCGGAGGCAGAGGCAGAGCAAGCCTCGGTACGTTTCCATGTCTGGCTGGCCAAGGCCCTTTTTGATCACTGTGATCTGACCAGCATCGAATTAAGCACGATTACATCGGCCCTATAAGTGCAGCTTCCAGATATCGATCAGATCTCATTTCCACATACGGTATTTACATATTACACAAACTGGAGCAAAGTCAGCTTTTACTTCTGCACATCTGAGACATTAACGTCTGTTTCAGTGTCAGAAACTGACAAAGGTAACAGATGTTTTTCCTCACAAAATAAAAAGAATAAAATACCTCTGTCTATATCTATTTACAAGCACAAGAGCATGGATTGAAAGTTTAGAATTTGGCTCCAATAGTCCAATCAATACTGAGTATAAATACTAGAGTCCAAATCAATACTGAGTATAAATACTATAGAGTCCAAATCAATACTGAGTATAAATACTAGAGTCCAAATCAATACTGAGTATAAATACTATAGAGTCCAAATCAATACTGAGTATTAACACTATAGAGTGCAAATCAATACTAAGTACAAACACTATCAATTCCAAATCAATACAGAATACAAATACTGTACTATAGAGTCCAAAACCATACTGAGCACAAATACTATCAAGTCCAAAATAATACTGAGTACAAATACTATCAAGTCCAAATCAATACTGAGTGCAAATATTATAGAGTCCAAAACAATACTGGGTACAAATAATATAGAGTCCAAATTAATACTGAGATCAAATACTGTAGAGTTTAGTACAAATCTGAGAACAGATACTATTGAGTCCAAAATAATACTTAGTTAAAATACCATAGAGTCTAAAACAATGCTTACTACAAATACCATAGAGACCAATACAATACAGAGTACAAATACTAGAGTCCAAAACAAATCAGATTACAAACACTAGAGTCCAATAGGAAGTACAAAACAATAGAATCCAGTACAAATCAGAGGACGAATACTAACAAGTTCAAGAAAAATTCAGGTACATATAGTACCGAGTTCAAGACAGTGCAAATAGTGTCGAGTCCATAACCGAGACAATAGAAACAAAGTTGCTCTAGCTGGTTATCAATCAAGATTTACTAATATAGCGCTTTTTACAGCAGGCAATGTCACAAAGCAGCTTTACAGAAAATCTGGGTCAAAGCCCCAGTGAGCGTCCCCAAGGGCAACAGTGGCAAGGAAAATCCCCCTAAGGGCAAGATGAACAATCCTTGAGTGGAACCAAGACTCAAAAGAGGAACCCATCCTCCCACCTGCTCATTCTCAGCAAATGAGCTACATTGTTTATTAAGCCTTATGAAGCCCATATGTGGCTCAGGTGTTAACGTTAACTAATTATCTCCATTTTAACAAGTTTCATGAAACTTGTTTGACAAAGTTGAGACGGTTGCAGCTGAGTACCAATGAAGTTGTTTGCAGGAGGTGCACATGATGCAACATGAGTGAAGTTTAAGTTCATGTGTGATCAGACTGGGTGAGTCTCCGGTAAGAGTGTGTGTTTGTGGTGCTCAGTTTTCTGGCCCCTCCCCTGACCCCTTAGCGATGGGACTGAGACAGTGACCCACTGCCTCATATCTTCTCTTCTAGAGCTCAGAGGCCGTTATCGAATGGCTGAGCGAATTTCAGCTGCAAGTCTACGCTCCAAACTTCATCAGCGCCGGCTATGACATTCCCACCATTAGCCGAATGACCCCAGAGGTAAGAGCCAATCCCTCCCCCAGCGCTCCCCAAAACACCTCCAACGGTCCGGGCTCCTCCGTCACGGCCAAAAACGAGCCTGCAGCTCACACGGCCGAGAGCAGGGCATCACGGGAGCCTGAATCTGATTGGTCCCGCTTCCCACGGCGTGAGTGGGCGAGCTGAACTCTCACAGCCAGAACTGGCAGAGTCACGGCTGTGGGACGGCACGGTCCATATGGTCCTCTCTTATTTTGTGCGTCTCTTTTTGTCTGTTCCCCTGTGTGAATCTGTTCCTCCCCAGTGCTGGATGGTCAGTTATTGTGTATATTGTGTTGTACATGTGTAGAAACGTTGGTAATCCTTCACTGTTCATAAGGCTACATAACACCCACATAAGCTCACCATGACAACTGACGTTTATAAAGGCTTATTCAGACGGGCGTCTATAATAACGGCTGTGTTTGTCAACTTTGAAGTCATGACACGTTTTGGGATGAAATAACATAATAACTTTATAATACATAATAAATAGAAAAGTGCATTTTCTATAGAAATTGCAGAGATTGCGCAGCTTAAGCAGTTCCCAGGTGTTTGCTAGGATTTTGCTGTGCTGCTCCAGGTGGTTGCTAGGGCATTGCTAGGTGGTCGCTCCGGTATTTCTGGGGGTTGCAGGGTGCAGGTAGGTGCTTGCTATGGAGTTACGTATGGCTGCTAGGGTGTTGATAGGTGGTTGCTATGGTGTTCAATGTAGTTGCTAAAGTGATGCTAGATGGTTGCTGAGGTGTTGCTGTGGTGTTGTTAGGTGGATGCTATGATATTCCATGTGGTTGCCAGTGTGTTGCTAGGTGGTTGTTCTGGTATTCCAGGTGGTTGATACAGCATTGCTAGGTGGTTTCAACAGTGATCTATGTGGTTGCTAAAGTGGTGCTGTGTGGTTGCTATGGTGTCTCTGGTGGTTGTTACCACATGGTTCCACATGGTTGCCTGGGTGTAGCCGTGCGATTGCTGTGATATGGTGGTTGTTAGAATGTTGCTGTGATTTTGCTCTGGTATCTCAGGTGTTTGCTACAGCATTGCTAGGTGGTTGCTAAAGTGTTGCTAGGTGGTTGTTCTGTTATCCCAGGTTGTTGCTACAGCATTGCTAGGTGGTTGCTAAAGTGTTGCTAGGTGGTTGTTCTGTTATCCCAGGTTGTTGCTAGAGTGTTGACAGGTGGTGATTACGGTGTTGTTAGGTGGTTGCTATGATAATCCATGTTATTGCCAGAGTGTTGATGGGTGGCTGCTATGACATTTCACAGGGTTGCCTGGGTGTTGCTGTGTGATTGCTGTGGGATCACAGGTTGTTGCTAGAGTGTTGCTAGGTGGTTGTTATGGTGTTGTTAGGTGGTTGCTGTGATATTCCATGTGGTTGCTAGGGTGTTGGTATGTGATTGCTATGGCATCCTAGGTGGTTGCTAGGATTTTGCTGTGGTGCTCCAGGTGGTTGCTAGGGCATTGCTATGGTGTTACGTGTGGCTGCTAAGGTGTTGCTTGGTGGTTACTATAGTATCCCAGGTGGTTGCTAAAGCCACCAGCCTGACGTGGTGATCTGTGTCATTGTCAGCACGTTGTCAGTGTGACATACACTGAGCTACAAAATCTGTCATTCATCCCATAAAGTGTCACGAAAACCTAATGTCCAAAATTTTTGTGAACTTGACATCAAAGCTGAGAAATACAATCTTTTTGACAGATGACGCCTATTGGAATATGTGTTTATAAAGGTTTATGTAGGTTTATGTCAGATGTCATGAAGGGCAAATGTAGATGTGATGTAGCTTTATGGACACTGACCTACAGTGAAGTGTTACTGCAGTGCTTTCTAATGGAATTTTAATAATGTACTTGCAGGTTTTGAGTGTTAACCATTTAAAAACATATTTACTACACAGATTAGTCCTTTTTCTTGCCTTTGTGAGCACTTACCCCTAATGCTTTATCCATTTTTCACTTGAGGTCGACTGTGTTGGCTTAATTATGCTAACCTATTTACTGCTGATGATTTAAGCTACAGAATACTGTACGTGTACTGGGTGGAAAAGTCTGAGGGTCCTCTGAAAATGCTTCTTTTCCTCACTTACTGCTGGTATTGTTTTGCTTTCCTCATTGCTTTGGAGGGCTTTTACATCGTCATTTCAAAAAACCCCGTCAATCACTTATACATAAACAACATGAATGCATTGACTGATTTGTATCTATTTTACTGTATGAATGTTTATTTCTGTGTATGTTTACAGTGCGTGGTTGCGTGAAGAGGGTATTGGGGCTGCTCTGATGGTAGGTTGGGATGCTTTATGCTTTTTTTTTAGGACCTGACAGCCATTGGCGTGACTAAACCAGGTCATCGCAAGAAGATGACCTCAGAGATCAACAAGCTCAGCGTGACGGAGTGGACGCCTGACCAAAAACCTGTGAGTGCCACACAAGCAATCAGAACCAATATAAAAATAAATAAATACAGTCAGAAACCTTAATGGTGTGTGTGTGTGTGTGTGTGTGTGTGTGTGTGTGTGTGTGTGATTCTCAGGCTAATCTCGGCGAGTGGTTAACCATGATCGGGCTGAGTCAGTACTACCAGGTTCTGGTCCAAAACGGCTACGAGAACATTGAGTTCATCACTGACATCACCTGGGAGGACCTGCAGGAGATCGGCATTACGAAGCTCGGTAGGAGAGAAAACGATTAAAAGATGTTAATGATCACAATCGAGCATTTTTCATCTAATAATAATGCACATTTGAGGTATTTTTGCTGTTTTAGTTCAGTTCCTTTTACTATCCGCTGTTTTAGAGCCAGGTGTACTAAACATATAACGCAAGAATAAAAACGCATCATTAGCAGCATCCACTAAAACACACAGTACAGCTCATATATTAAATCTAGTAATCTAAAAATATTACCAAAAATTCAGTATCAGTCTCACTTTCTGGGCGACGTGACAGATGAATATGTCACTTAAGGGAGTTTGGACGACGCCGATTATTTTTGTTTGCCACCTTAATAATGTTGTAGAGATGAATTATATTTCTTATATTGAGTTCCTAAATAAAGAAATCATAGAAAAAGTTCAAACAGATTCAATAAATGACTTATAGAGGAGGCTCATGATCTTCCTATCCATGCTGAACGTTTTACTTTCTTAAGAAGTGCAATCTCTGCTGCCTTTTTTACAAATTATATCAGTGTTCACTTCAGCTTATCATCAGTAACTGTCCCCGTTTATTTAGAACTGTCAACAAATTCAGTTGCTGTACTGTACATCAATACAGGTGATGGAGACTGGGGCACTTTATGGAAGTCAATTTTCATATCATTTGCTTTTGTAATGTTTCATTTCAAATTCGTATCTATACACCATTTCACAAAGTCCTCGGCCATCGGGCCATGTTCAGTCTCCTCATCTTGTATCAGGCCAACAATCACTGTATCATCTGCAAAACTGAAATCATATCTGTCTTGGTATGACTTTTATAGTCATCTGTGTAAAGGATTGCTTTGATGCACTAGATGGCACTGTGTGTGTTTTACTCACTAAATGGGTAGAAGAAGTCTGGCCATTCACTTACAACAGCAGAGCTTGATCACTAATCGTTGATATAAAATTATAATAAAAATATAGCTAATTATAATATTATAATAAAAAATGTAGAGTGACACATTCGACACATTTAGTAGATGAGTTGAAGTTCCTTATGGTACAGCAGAAAGTTAAAAGATTTAACTTTTCTATTTTAAAGTTTTTTGCATTTCTCATCACCTCAATTTGGTGAAATTTCACTTTCTCATTATCGATATTTTTCGGTTTTTGCTGTTTTTAATTGGAGAATAAATCTGTATACTATACTGTGTTACACTGTATTCTGTTATTGCATACTGTATACTGTTAATGTAGACATTAACTTTAATGATTTCATTGTAAATGCTAAGGAAGTGGACCAAAACAACAAAATATTATTTACAAACTGTCACAAAATGTTTGCACAAGTAAAAAATTACAGTGGTTGTCAAGGTGTTGTGGTAATGAGATAAAATTACAAAAAATAATTTTATAGCATATTTTTATTTTAAGAAGTAGCTTTAAAAATACCTATACAGAAGTTGTGGTGATGAGAATTCAGTCACGGAAATAAGAAAATGTTACTAAAAATGAATGTAAAATCAGTTTAATTATTCAAATCTACTTTTGAGTATTCAATCAGGTATCATTGTTTGTAAATAAAAAAAGAAATAATTAAATTTTAGCCATTTTACTTTTAATGTTTGTGAGAATAACCAATGTACCTGCCCAAATCTGTCCAGGCCACCAGAAGAAGCTCATGCTGGCTGTGAAGAAGCTGGCGGAGATGCAGAAAAGCTCTGAAACTCGAAACACGCGCAAGAAACCTCCGTCCTTGCAGGACATGGTGGCTATTGAGAGCCCTCCACCGGACAGCGGAGAGTGCATGTCTCCAAAGATGACCACCTTCCAGGTAGGGATGGGAATATCACTACCAGCTGATCTACCGAACAATAAAAACAAAAATACAGCTCTGCTTAAACAATATCATTTTGCTTCCAAACTGCTAGTTAATGAATACTAAGATGAATTCGATTAGCTGTATATTTGAATAACCACAGCCATCCCAACTTCCAGGACAGCGAGCTGAGCGGGGAGCTTCAGGCCGCCCTGAGCCGCCCTGTAAATGTCCAGGATGGACCTGAGGTCCGAAACAACGCCAATGGGGGTCCGGTTCCCCAGCAGCGCTCACGCAGTCTGCATGAGAACAGCATCAACAAGAGCCGGGACTCAGAGGAACCGAGTGGTCCTCCAAGAAAAGAGGCTCGTACGATGCGTCAGAGCAGCCAGGCGGGAGGCCAGAGAGGAAGTGTTTCACAGCCAAAACCGCGACAGTCTTACCCACAAGGCAGTGGTCCTCCTTATACTCCACCTCAGACTCCAACCAAGACCAAGCCGCCTTCCTCTCAGACCATGGCATCCTCTCAGACCAAGCCCAGACCGAGCCCCCAGCTTCTGCAGCAGACGGAAAGACCCATGTCCCCTCGCTCTATGCCTCAGTCTCCAACTCACAGAGGGCATCCACAACCAGCCCCACAGCCTGTGGAGAGTGTAGAAGCAGTGCAGTCAGCACCAGCTGTCTCTGTGCCTCTCCTGTGCCTGCCACCCGAGGGTGACACTGACGATGGAAATGAGCAAGGTACACCGAAGAAGCGAGCTCACAGTCTGAACCGCTATGCTGTTTCCGATAGCGAAACAGAGCGCGACGAGGTAAACGTGCCAGACACAGGTGGCAAATACGCAACTGTCCAGCATCGGGTGGGCCGAAGCAACTCCATGAAAGGGCAGGCAGACAAGAATGTGAACCGCAGCCAGTCTTTTGCTCTTAGGCAGAAGAAGAAGGGTCCTCCGCCGCCTCCGCCCAAACGCTCCAGCTCAGCTATCTCCAGCTCCAGCAGCAACCTGACTGAGGTGCCTAAAGAAACAGGCACAGGTGGTCACCTGCTGGATGTCAACTACCAACCACAGAGACGTGCCAGTGACCTGGGGGGCACCGTGGACACGGGAAGCGCGGGCAGTGTAAGGAGCATTGCTGCCATGCTGGAGATGTCCTCCATAGGAGGGGGAGCTAAAGGCCTGGCTCAGAAATCTACAGGACATTATTTGCAGGTAAGCAAGACTGAATCAGAAATGCTGAAATCAGCAGGTACCATAAGTGCAGAAACATGGCGAGACTGAAAATAGGACTTTTAAATGATATTAAAATCCAGTCCTCAGAGCAATAATTTTGTGCAAAATCAAATTGAACCAAGAGATTTAGTTAGTGTGAGTAAAAAGTACTGAAAGTTTATGGAAGTTTGTGTTTTGTAGCTAAAAACTGTAGTCGCAATTGTCTTAAACCTTTCACTTTGCACCTTTGCACAAATCCTTGATAGATTTGTTTTCCTCAGGTGGGTACAGCAGGCGGGAAGCAACACGATGCCATTGGTCTGGATGGAGAGGTCGTGAACCGGCGCAGGACCATCAGTGGGCCAGTCACTGATCTGGTGGCCGCAGCTAAGAGAGGTCCACAGCAGCCTCAGCCTATGCAGATCCAGCAAGTCCAGCAGGTCCAGGACAGACTGTCAAATGAACCTCAGCCAAGCTCTACCGGCAACTCAGCCGAAAATCTGCCGTTCGCCGAGGATGGGAACCTCACCATCAAGCAGAGACCCAGACAGGGCAAGGGTGAGGGTGAGGATGGAGTAGATGGTATATATTCCCTGCCACAAGAGGAGCTCCCCAACATGGATGGTACAAGCACTCTTAAGAGGAGGACCTGGAGCTCCAAGCAACACCAAGAGGAAGCCAAGTTCCACCTCATTGAGTCCAACACGGTGAAGCGAAGACCCAAGAGCAGGGAGAACAAGGAGTCTGAGGAGCCGCAGCAGCAAGAACCACAGGCCGTGCCTTACCAGAACGGTACCGGCACCATCAAGAGACGCCCAACATCTGAGGTGACTGTGTCTGAACAGCCTAGGCCACAGGAGCATGTAGAGAACAAGCCTCGCAGGGACAGCGCAGACCTAGAGGGCCAGCTTAATGAAAGCACGGCTCGCAAACCTGCCAAACCTCCGGTGTCACCCAAACCCGTTCTGGCCCAACATTTGAAGAAGCAGGGACCTCCGGCTGCCGTGACCAAGAAAGCCCCTTTTCCTGGACCAGGGGCACCTGGCAGTCCAGGTACTACACAGTGTGGCCCTTTCTCTTGCCCTGTCTTTACACAATTATGTGAGTATCCTCTCAAAGGCTTGATGCCTTTCTCTTCTTGTTGGATCAAAATGTGCTCAGGTGAGTTTCTCTTCCCATCTCTCTCCCTCTCTCTCTCTTTTATGTAGTTGAAGGGAAGAAAATGCCTCCTCCAGTTTCTCCGAAACCCACCCCTCCTCCCACGGCTCCCAAGCCGTCGAAGAACATTCTTCAGTCCATAAACGCGACGCCCAACCAGACCCCAGTGCCGTCTCCAGCAAGGCAACCGGTCACGAAGATCGAAAGCCCAGCTTTGACCACAAACCCAGTCAAATCCCCAACTCCACCGGCCCAAAGCCCCCAGACTCCACACACGCCGCAGACCCCGGTGACGCCACAAACCCCGCAGACGCCCCAAACCCCCCAGACCCCTGTGCCTCCCCCTGTGAAGCCTCCTCGCTCCTCCATCAGCGGGGTGTCTATGGACAGTGGCAGTGGCGGATCAGGGCCGGGATCGGGGGTCATGACTGCGGACGCTGTGCAGCAGAAGATTGAGGAGACTAGCGCCTCGCTGGCTGCAGCATTACAGGCTGTGGAAGAGAAGATTAAAGAAGACAGGCACAGAGAGTGAGTCCCATACATGCTATGAATATCATACATGCAGCCATGGTCAGGGGCGTAACTGTGAATTTATGATATGAAGGAATGGAAATGGACCCGTGCAAAAATACACTGTAAAGTAGTGGTCTGGCCCTGGAGGTCTACCTTCCTGCAGAGCCTAGTGTCAACCACAGTTTGCTTCACCCGCTCCAGCTAATCTCTTTTCCTAAGTACCTGATTGGCTGGATCAGATGTATTAGAGTACAGTAAGGAGTGGGGCAGCTTATTGGAGACAGGTTGGAACAAAACTCTGCAGGGAGGTAGATCAGGGTTGGAGACCACTGCTGTAGAGGTTTAGTCAACATGATCCGTAGGTGTACACAGTATCCACTTGGAAACCACTAAGATCTGCATGTACCAACTTAAAGATGCACAGTGATACATAATAGATGAGTGTGTTTAGATGAAGGTGATACAAAAAGGGAAACAGTTTTATTGAAAATCAATTCTGAACAGCTAATGCAGTTGAAAGGGTCTGTTTCAGGTCTGGCAGTCGTCCTGAAAGTCCACACTTTGGTGTCATGTCGATAAGACATGTAAATGAACCTCTCCACTCTGATCCTGGTCTATATCTATAAGACTTACTGTGAGCTACAAGCATGAATAAAACCTCACCGCTATGAGCAGCCAGGGGGCGGTATTCACAAGTCTAATCTCAGATCAGAATCCTTTATGATGATCACCGTCCGCTGTCTGAGTCTAGATCAGCACTCTGGCTCCCGAGGTGGTTTGTGAATACAGATCCTGTTGTCTAAAGTGGCTGCTCGGAATTTTGTTAATGTTTACAATGTACAGGAAGTCATATTGTCTCCTAAACCAGTTCTTAAACATTTACACTTCACACATATTTATCACTAGAAGGCATGAAGGCCCACAGGGAAATAAAAGTTGGTAACACTTTACAGTAGGGTACAGTTCATAAGGCTACATGACACCCACATAAGCTTGTCATGACAACTGACATAGACCTAGAAAATTTGTATAAATGCTAATTCAAATAAGCATCATCTGTCATAAAGGCTACTTTAGCTGACTTTGATCAAAATTGTCAGATGTAATATAGCAAAAGACGCCTATTGGAACTAGCATTTATAAACATTTATGTAGATCTGTGTCAGTTGTCATGGCAAGCTTATGTAGGTGTCGTGTAGCCTTATGAACCGTACCCTACAGTAAGATGTTACCCTAAACTTTTTTTTGCACTATTTGGAAAAATTTCCACTACAGCTGTATTTGGTTGGCTACCCCACGATCTGGGACATGAATCAGTGACTCCATGTAAACAGATTAGGATAATGTAGCCTGAAATCAGACAGAACAGTGGCAGACGAAGTGGGAAGACTCTACAACACAGTTTTTTGCACCAGTTGCTTGTCAGTAGTGTTTAGTTTTTAAAGTTAAAGGGCAAAACATGAACAAAGCTGCTATTTTTGCGAGGCTTGTATTAATATCGTTTTCCATTTGAAAACATTTTATATTTCCCTTTTTATTATTTATTCACTGATTTTAATGACAAAGCGCCATCACCTGCCCACTGCAGACCACTGGTCCCCCTCAGTATTGGCCCAAAGACCACTGAAGGGACTTCACGGACCACTTGTGGTCCATGTCCAAGTGGTTGAGAAACCCTGTACTAAACAACACCTGCAATCTTAATGCACACCTCGATGCAGTTTGAGCAGGTTAAGAAAAAAATTAGAGATGGATTTTAACAGAAACAGTTTGGGCTAATTAGGTGACTACTGAGTTCTAGTGTTTGTTAGCAGCGTTAGCCTCATTGCTAAATTAAAGAGGCAAAATTTGGACTCCATGTCCCAGCTTGATTGACTACATCTGGGCTAAGCAGAAAATGGTATGAATTTGATCTTTCGCTAAACCATTCCTTTAATTTTAATCGCAATTTAAATTGCAGTCACAGTGCTGCTCAGAAGAATCGTTCGGCTCTGACTGAAGGCAAAAGGTCCAGACTCAGCTGTTCTAACCCTGCTGTCGGGCTGAAGATGGTAGTGGTCCAGTGGTACTGAGGTAGTACATTCTGTGAATGTGTTTGTGTTCCTGCAGCTCGGTGACGGAAAACAAGAGCACAGTGAGCATCCTGGACGACATCGGCAGCATGTTTGACGACCTGGCAGACCAGCTAGACGCCATGCTGGAGTGAAGAGCACAGCCTGCGTCTCTGTGGCACAACCTCAGGACCCAGGAGAGCACAAAAAGGGCACAAATAACCAACCGACTGACCAAACAAACCCACGAAACCCTCAGAACCTCCAAAACCTCCGACCCCCAGCCTCCTGTACCTTCTCCCTCCTGTTCTTCTCCTGCTTCCTGAACATCCCCTCTCTCCTTCTCTCTCCTCCCCGAAGTTGGTTTGCACAACCCCCCCAGGTGAAGTGACCTCAGGGCTGGGCGACGAAGATCATCCAGGGCTTTACGAGGGTGGAGAGGGCAGAGGACGAGTTTTACCAGAAAATAAACTCAGCTGTCTGTTCTTTTCCATTCAAAAACGCTATCGTGAGGAATGAATAGCAAAACAATACCAATAATTACTGTATATGAAATTATAGTATGGTATGTGTACATTGTAAGCATGAGGAAAGTTTGTATCTATAAAGAAAAAATCTCATAGTGAGAGTCATGCATTAGTACAGTAATATATATATAAGTATATATATATATATAAATATATATAAATATTTTATTTTGTTTTTATTTCATGGTAAATGGTACAATACAGTGTTGTTATGTTTCAGAACTCTATGGACTTTCCTGACAGAAATACGGATTTTTCTATGACAAAAACAGAGTTTAAAAAAAGATGCTAAGCTAGCTGTCATATATATATATATATATTAGCTGTGCTCAGTAGAGGGCAGTAGTGAGCCGTGTTGACTTTAGTGATTGGAGTTCCTGTGTAAATCCTGCTCTGCTCTGCGTGCTTGCCTCGAGCTCCCGTACCTCTGTATAGAACCTTTTAGTTCTCTGCTGCCTCATTCCACACGGATGGGTCCGCACGAGGGATGGGCATGAACTCAGTTCAGTTTATTTATTGGCACTGTTTACAAACAACGTCGTCGTCCTGATCCAGACGCAAAAAGGGTTGAAAAGTTGACTGTTCAGTCGGCTGAAATGGTTAAAAACCCAGTCAAGAATTGTGGGGCTATTATGACGGTTTACTGTTTATGTAAAGTTGGTCTTTAACCTCTTAAACTGCAAAGTCTCTCTATATACAACTACGCAAATTACAGTTACTGAAGTAGTTACTGAATAAAGTTGGTGGTTTGTCTTAAACAACAAAAGAACCTCTGAAAAAATAAGGTGGTCATTAGGACCAATCACAGTCGGGGGGGGGTCTCAGAACTAGCGAGGAGGTGATTAGGACCAATTACAGTTGAGGGGAGGTCTCAGAACTAACGTGGCAGTGATTAGGACCAATCACAGTCGAGGGGAGGTCTCAGAACTAACGTGGCAGTGATTAGGACTAGAGGTGGGTAATCCAGGTCCAAAAAGTAAAAACCCTCCACAGGATTTTGTTCCAACTGCCTGAACTCCTTTGCTGCTGGTTTGAGCAAATTAGAGAAGACAAGCAGTTGGAACAAAATCCTGGGGAGGGTTTTTACTTTTTGGACCTGGATTACCCACCTCTAATTAGGACCAGTCACAGTCGGGGGGAGGTCTCAGAACTACCGAGGCGGTGATTAGGACCAATCCCAGTTAAGGGGAGGTCTCAGAACTAACAAGATGGTGATGATGACCAATCCCAGTTAGGGGGAGGTCTCAGAACTACCGAGGTGCTGATTAGGACCAATCCCAGTTAGGGGGAGGTCTCAGAACTAACAAGGTGATGATGATGACCAATCACAGGTAGGGGGAGGTCTCAGAATTAACGAGGTGGTGAGTAGAACCAGTCACAGGTAGGGGGAGGTCTCAGAATTAACGAGGTGGTGAGTAGAACCAGTCACAGGTAGGGGGAGGTTCTCAGAACGAATAGAAAATTGCAAAAATTTGGGCGGTTTTGTTATTTGCTGCATTCAACTAATCAAATTTGTTGTGTCTAATCAAATCCAGCTACTTAAATGACGTTATTATTTGCATATTCATAAATATTAAAATGCCCATCCCTGGTCCGTATGTGCCATCCTGCCCCCGTTTCTGCCCCCCCCTCACCTCGTCCTGCGCAGTGTCTCGTGTGCCTTAACACGACAGGTGACCTCAGCGCTGAAACACACACACGCACACACACGGATGTTGATTCTGGGAGTCAGTAGAGGGCGCTGTGGAGAGATTCTGAACACGATAGAAAACAGTGACCTCAGTCTAAACAAACCCCGGCCTGAGCAGATAACAAAACTGCAGTATCATATAAAAGATAAAAGCCCCGATGACATCACCACAGGTTTACAACAACAGTTTTAGAACAATATTTAGTTCTTTTCATAAATCTGGCGCCACCTAGCCTTTGAAGGCGGTAATACCTCAAGACATAAAAGCTACATGACTTATGTTTACACCAGATTTATTCTTATTCAGTTCTTCTCCGAGTTTAGGAGCAGGATTAGCATTAGCATTGTGATATGTTTACATCATGACAGTAGACTGGCAGTGGCAAACTGGACATTCCATGTTTTTGAATGGAGCAGATGCGGAAAACTCTGCCACCACAATCGGCAACGGCAGCACGCTGCAGCGGTTAGCATGACGTTCCACCAAGAACCGTCACAAGAGAATAATCTAGGTTTTATTTCCTCGGAAACTCTGAAGCACTGAACGCTCATCGTTTGAGCCCAGGGGGTTATTCCACAAAGCAGGATTGCTCAGTTAGCCAGATAACTTAAGCCCAAAGATGAGTACTGTCCAATGGGAATCCTCAGCTCTTTTCCTATTGGACAGGCTTGACTTTGGGCTTAAGTTATCCAGCTAAACTGAGAAATCCTGCTTTGTGGAATATCCCCCGGTGTAGCCGCTGGACAACAAAACCAAAACGTAAATAAAAATAGACTGTTAGAAACATGAACACTTTAAAAACACCTTCCAGGCTAAAACAGTGGCCAACACCTCTCCACATCTGGGGAGGAACACCAGTAATGTGACCATCATGGCACTGTTTACACGACTGTTGTTACACCAGTTCATTGCCAACATGTTAGTCTTGCAAGCCAAACTCCTGCCCACTGTCAGAGAGCCAATCCGTCACTTACCATGACCAAGAACAGCCAACTTTGACAGGAAGGGGCCGTTTGACTGACGCATATTAACCAATCACAATCAACGCAGCCGCAACAAAAACAAACCCACAGCAAACTCATGAGAATCTCTCAGTCAGAAGCTACTAAACGCTTCAGAAACCTCTACATTAACTTTAACATCGGTCTTTTTCAGTCCAGTGAGCATCTCGCACTGAAAGGCTCGGCCACTTTAAGTTTCTCATCTGATAAAACCTGCTGAACAGAAGAGTGTTTACATGGCTGAGAGCCAATCAGAACGCCGCTGACGAGATCCCGAGGCTTGTGGTCAGCTTAACATACGAAGGATCTCAGTCTGCGTGTGGCTGAGAGTATAAACGTGTGAACACAGCGTAGCGACAGAGCTAGCAGTAGCCTTTGGGGAGCGTTTGCTGCTCTCCGTGTTCTTCGTTCTGAGGCTGATGGTCTAAAACTGTAGTGATGTGGTTCGGCAGTGAGATTCTGGCTGTAAAGGGGTGGAAAGTGTTTAAATCTGATGGAAACTAAAAGGGCTTCACACTTTACTGCCAGTTTGTGGCTGAGCTGAGCGGATGAGGGCCTGAAGGTGCTGTAGGTGGAGTGAAGGGAACCTGCATGTCTGAGAATGAGCACAAATTAGAACCCCAAAAATAAGTCTGTGAGCTGAGGGAAGATTTGGAACGATGGTTTTACTGAGGTTCGCACGGCTGATGGGTCTCCTAACACTTTCTCTTGTGTTAGCTTCCTCTGTGGGGGAGATTTGCATGCAGTGCAGGTGTTTAGGTTGATTTACACTGGACGGGAGCGGCGGGTCGGATTTGGCCTGTCGAATAGTGGAGCAGAGCTGAACTTCAGACAAATAAATCCAGCCAACATGGCGTGTTTAAGGCAGGTGGTGAACATATTAGTCTGATGATGCAAACTACACTGATTATTCCAAAAATAACTACATAAATATTAATTTAAGACATTTGAATTGGATTTTTTACAGCTGATAAGGGGGATACGGTCACCATGCCGGACCAGGATAAACATAAATGAAGCGTTAAGTAGCCGTAGGAAGGAGTTCTGATTTTCTCTTTTCTCTTCAAACAGTCGTTTCTTTTTCACCAAACTCACATTAACAGATTAACGTCTGTCTAATTAATCCAGAAACACTGAGGTTCCAGTTCTGTAGTCCACCTGTGCAGGTGGGTGTTTTTTGTTGCATTAGAGAGGAAAGTGGTCAGAGCGCCCCCTGCTGTTTGCATTCAAAATGTAGCTTAAAATGGAAATTCCACTAATTTCTCAAATTTTCTGCATAACTAAGTGGTTAAGATGTAAACAGAGTCATTCAGAGTAGTTTGGTGTGAAACACTCTGTTCTAGATAATCTTACCGAGTCAGAACTGTTCACAGTGGTGGTGATAGGAACCAGACGTCCACCTCTAAAAGCTCCCTCACAGAAAGTTCCTACATGAAATGGTGATGAATTCACTGCCTGATGACTGAGACACTGTTTTATGATAGTTTGGAGAACTTAAACTCCATTCATGGTGGAGGGATACATGCAGGGCGCTGTGAGGCAAAATAGTCCCCAAAGAAAACTTATTATTTCAGATTTTCCACTATTTTCCATCATCAACATTCCATATAAACTCAGAAGACTCGTGTAGGTTCACTGGTGGTTCTGGATAGTAAATAAAATGTCTATATTTGTGTTGTAGTCATGGCGACCCCTGGTTCCTATCACCACCACTGTAAAGACATCTGAACCATTTCACACCGAACCTCTCTGAATCTCTCTGATTACATCTCACACACTGAATTATGGGGGGGGGGGTTTGAAAAATCAGTTCAATTCTCCTTTAATGGTGAATTGAAAGTGATGCATGTTACAGGCTGTGCAGTTTCTCTAAAAAGCGGAGTGGCACTGATCTTCTGATATTCTGCTGTTATGTTTGTAGGCAGAGCTGGACAACATGACAATATTTACCATCATGATCAATTACATAACAATATACATTTCTGAGCATATCGCGGATATCATGGGTTCCTAAAATCACTTCCTGCTGCATGTTTGATTATAAAGAGGCTCATTAGTCCTTTTTAATTGGATTTTGTGCAGCTCAGTGTGTACAATGTTAAGCTCAAGTAATTATATTCATAGCTTTTGATAGCATTATTTTAAAATGTGGCACTACTTTATCTGTTCTAGATTATCAGATGTCATAAAAAAGAAATATCGTGACCTATCATGTATCAAAACAAATCATTCCTGAAGTATTGTGATACTACATTTGGTCATATCGGCCACCTCCTCTATTTGTTGGTGCTTATATAGTTTCAAAAAAGTTCCAGTTTCAGTGATTTTTGAATAATGATAATTTTAATAATGATTCACGTTTTAAATGCAACCAGCAGATGGCGCAGTTCTGTGCTTTCCCTCCCTGTTTCACCCCAGTTCTGCAGCTCTGCCGTTTATTTGGTCTACAGGGCTGGAGGTGTTTTAGCCTCTGAACTCATAAAGACCTTAATTTACTACTGCAAGATGATTTAATGACCCGAGTGACGGAAAAACCTTCCTGCACACAGATCACCGTCCACCTGTCAGCGGTTTCTGTCATCACAGAGGAACACTTTAGTTCTAGATAGGAAAAGGCCGCACACCAAAAACATTAGACCTCTTAAAGCGATAGTTTGGTGAAATATCAGATTCCCCCAGATATTACATACGTAATCAATCAGCTGAGGCGTGTTCGGTGTGTGAAATTTGCTTCTTTAGTTGTGGCACTGGAGCTACGAGGCTAATGTAGCTAACAAGTAATGGGAGCTTATGCCCCACCGATTAGCATGATGCTAACTGCATACCGAAAGATGACTCTAAACTATACAAATAGAGCTCAAAAGCATCGCGTCTCGCACATCCTCCTCTTACAGAATTCCATCTTTCTCCCAAAAGGAAAAACACTAAAGAGCGCGCATCACAAACATGTTCGGCTACGGAAACTCGCATAATAATTAGCACCATCAGGGACACTTTAAAAATGAATGTGCTACTAGACTGTTAAGAAAAAATAAAAAAGAGAGAGAACTAAAAATCTCCTGGCCTTTGAGGTCTGTATGGAGGGCTCTGAGGGTCTAAATGAAAATGGAAAGAGAAAAAAAGTGTCTTTCCTCCTGGAAATGTACAAAACGTCCAAAGTAATACTAAATAATAATAAAGTTTTTCCATAATTGAGTGTTTGAGGTGTAAACAGAGCCATTTAGAGTGGTTTGGTGCGAAACAGTTCGTAAAGTATTAGTAAATCTGGAAAAATT